GGTGCCAGAGATGCATATATGGTAAATGTTCCCAGCAGCGGCATGCCCTCTGGAATTGGAGTTTTGCACTCAGCCAATCTGGTGTCCTCAAGAGACACAGGGGAGGGTAAACACCCCAAGTCACAGCTGCATGGGCTATGACATGTGCAGAGAAAAATCAGCTAACTCCTCCCTCGCTGTTGAGAATGTGGGATAGCAGCTCCTATTTTCCTCTTGATTATTAGTATAGTATAGTGTGTGTGTGTGTGTGTGTGTGTGTGTGTGTGTGTGTGCACGCGCGCGCACGCGCCTGGGCACCAGTTGCTCAGTCGTGCCTGACTCTGCGACGCCATGGACTGTGGTGCACCAGGCTCCTCTGTCCATGGATTCTCCAGGCAAGGATACTGGAGTGGGTTTCCATTTCCTTCTCCAGGGGATCTTCCCAACCCGGGAATCGCACCCTCATCTCCTGCATTGCAGGCAGATTCTTTACCATCTAAGCCACCAGGGAAGCCCCGCTTGTTAGTATGGATGAGGCCAAATGCTGGAGAGTGGCTCAACAGAATATTATTACCGACTCTGGAGCCAGAATGTGTGGGTTCCCATCTGGCTCTGCACTTAGTAGGTGTGTGTTCTTACTCAGGGGATGTCCCTTTGCTGTGCCTCAGTTTTGCACATCTAAAATGGGAGTGACAACTAGGTTGTCTTTGGACTGTTGTGAGATTGAAATGGGTTGTTTTTAAAAGTGCATGGAATGGAGAAAGTGAAAAAAAAGGGAGGAATTCAGAAATAAAGAAGTTGTTTTAACATGCAGTGTATTGATAGACACTCTGAGGTGTGGTAAAGCCCATGGATCTGGGCCAGCCGCCATTTGAGAGATAGTTTGTTAGTCCCAGTTCCCCAGAGGAGGGGGCGGGACGCCACCTGGTGGGGCACAAGGTGATGCCCTGGGTGTGTCGGGGGCAGAGGAAGGAGGGAGGAATTGGGGGTAAGAACTTGATCTTGGTTGGTGGGAGCGGGGGTGAAGGAGCTAGCCAACCCCCACCCCCCGCCATGGTCTGAGGCTTAGGGACTGCCCACAGGTGTCAGGTCCTTGACCTAGAGTGATAAGGACTGGATGATAGTGGTCCATGTGGAGGACCTAAAAAAGAAAGAAGTTGGGGAACAGGCTCTGGGATGCTGGAAGGGAAAGTTCATTCTTATCTCCAGGGATTGGCTAACTCTGAGAGGTGCAGTCCCCCCAGAATCAGCAAGGCTCCAGCAGTCAAAGCATCAGAATATAGGACATAGAGGACATGATGAATACAAGGGTGCAGAAAGGGACCTCAGAATGCATCTGTACCATTTTATAGATGAAAAAACTGAGCCTCAGAGAGGGAAATGTGCCCAAGGTCAGCTGGAAAATCATGCTCTGAATTCTATCTCTGTCTCCTGAGTCCAGAGCCAGTGCTCTGGCCATCAGTGGTCTGACAGCCCAGCCTCCACTGGGTTTAACCCTTCTGGTGCTGTGATACTGTGAGAGGCCTGGAACCGAGGGTAAGAGCAGAGTAAGAACCAAATTAGGAGATGCTTTCCACCTTTAGAAAGTCCATATTGGCGGCCTCCATCTCCACAGTTCACTCATCTGTAAAATGGACATATTAATATCTACTTAGTGACACTTTGAGCTTCCCTGATGGCCCAGTGGGTAAAGAATCTGCCTGCAATGCAGGAGACACAGGAGACTTGGGTTCCGTCCCTGTGTTGGGGAAGATCTTCTGGAAGAGGAAATGGCAACCCAGTATTCTTGCCTGGGAAATCCCAAGGACGGAGGAGTCTGGTAAGCTGCAGTCCAAAGGGTTGCAAAGAGTTGGACATGGCCGAAATGACTAAGCATAGATGTGGACAGCCAGGCTTTTGTGAAGATTAGTAAAAAGGGACTGGACTGCACATGGAATAATTTAAAAATTGTTAAGAATTTCAAGATTACAACAATAGAGTACTAAAGCAATCACGGGGCCTGGAGGCTTCTGAGAGTGGGTGTTGTATAAGAGCACAGGTCTCACATCCATGACACAGCTGGGATACGACACTTGGTTGTCTGACTCCAGAACCTGAGTCCATAGGTGCAAAGTAATTCTTCCTTCCTACACAGAACACGGTTTAAAGATATTTATCCGGGCTTCTCATGTGTAACTTCATGCCTGATTCTGGCCAAAGGTACCCATTTGACTGACAATTCTCTGCTGCCCTCTTGTGGGAAGTGTCAATAATAACCACACCTCCTTCAAGGGTGATGGCTGACCTCCAACCCAGGGCAAGACTCTCAGCAATGATCCCAAAGAATGGTGACTATGCCTGAGCCGACACACCCAGGGACAGCATTCAGATTGCTCCCTTGTCTCTTGAAGCCTCTAGGGCCCTAACCATGAAGCAGTTGCTTGGGGCGGGAGTTGGGGGGTGGGGGGCGGGTCGGCGGCATGGAGATTCCCAAATCTTATTCCTCCTTCAAGCTGAGATTAAATGCCTTCTGGTCCAGGTGACCTCCTCAGGCTCCAAGATGGAACCAGTTCAGTACTTAGCACCTCAGAAGGGCTGAGGCAACTTGACTCATAAAGCATTTGTCTGAAAAGGATGTATCCTTTGCCTCTTACCTGGGCTAACTGAGGATCCTATTTAGGTTGGCTGAAAGGCTCCTTTGGGTTTTTTCCCAGCACATTTTACAGAAAAACCCAAATAAACTTTTGCGCCAAGTTTTTAGTGCTTCCTGCTGCTGTTTTCCACCCTGCAGAGCCAGAGCGATCCATCTGAATGGTTACAATCATTTTCGCTTCTCTCTGTGCATGCCCTTTGTGGTGTGATTTTGTAACTGCACTCAGGAAGTGTCTGGGCTGGACTCTTAACTTACTTTGATAATAAAACAGAGCAGATGTAATGGTTTACCAGCTCTTGACTCAGGACTCAAGAAGCCTTGCACGTGAACGTTTACTCTTGCGCCCCTGTGACTGCCATGTGAACAAGTCCAGCTGAGCCTGCTGGGGAATGAGACAGCACCTAGAAGCAACTAAGACCCACAGCTGCAGACACATGGGTGAGCCTAGTCAAGATCTGCTGAGGCTGGTTCAGGTCAGCAGAACTTCCAAGGTGGCCCACAGGCTCAGGAGCTGAACATATGGTAGTTGTTTTCAGCCTGGGGCTGGTTTGTTACGCAGCAACTGCTCACTGATACACTATATACAACCAAGTATGGTCACATTGTGAGAGGGCTTCCCTGGTGGCTCAGACGGTAAAGAATCTGCTAATAATGCAGGAGACCTGAGTTTGGTCCCTCGGTCATATTACTCCAGTGAAAAATATAAAGCTTTTCACTGGCTCCCTGTGGCCCTCCGAAAAAAGTTCCATCTTCTTATCCAGACTAGGAGGGCCTTGTCTTCCGAATTTTACTTCCCTCTGCAGCCCTTCTACTGAGACACGTCAAGTCTGCAAGTCCTTGTATTCCCGTACTGCTTCCTACTTCTGTGCTGTCACTCCAGTGACTTCATGACCTGGAATTTCCCTCATGACTCAGCTCAAGGGCCACCTGTTATGGGGAGACCTCTCTGTCTCCCTAGGTGGGATTCTGTGCATGATCTCACTGCCAGGTTGAGAAATGGCCTTGCTTCATTCATCTGTAAACCCAGCCATCCGCTGAGGGCTGACCATATGCCAGATACTTGTCTAGGCACTGGAGATGCACATAAAAGTAAGTGGTTGTGACCCTCTGTACCAAAAGTTGTTAGTCCTCTGAAAGATCTTTGACAACCTGTGGTAAATGCAGTGACAAGGACAGGCTCAGAAAGGCTTTTATAAGAGATGACATCTTAAGGGACAAAGAGGAATTAGCAAGTTTCAGAGAAAGGCACGGGGATGAGGTCCAGGGGGCCAGGTGTGCTTGGGGACATACCTGCAGCTAGTCCAGGTAATTGGAGCAGAGAGGTGGGGCAGGCTGAGGAGGCGGAGTTTGGATTTACCTTGAAGGCCATGGGAGCCATTAGAGGGCTTTAGAAAAGCATGCAGTCAGTGCTCAACACACGTTTCCTTATTAGCACACCATCTGTCTTCTTCATCAGACTGAGAGTTCCTGAGGACAGGGTTATTCCTTCCTTGTATTCTCTGGTTCCTTCCTGGAATAAGAATGGGACTGAGTATAATTCTGATCAAAGAATGAATGAATAAGTGACTAATTCCACCCAAGATATAACAATACAAAACCCAGTGGAGTTTTTTCACCCAAACAAGAATGGCTCTTCACTATCCTGGCCAGGCAGGTGTTGAGGGTTCAAAGAGGCTCTGAGATGGGTCCAGAGAACAAAGACCCTTAGACCTCCTGGTGTCCCTCAGCCTCTGCTTGGCAGCCAGGAGTGTGTGCTGGTGCCACCTGGAGGCCACGGTGCTCATGTTCTGTTTGGACTGTCTTCCTCCATTTGCCAAAGTGCCCTGTCAGCCCAGGGAAGGGGAACAGCCAGAAATGGTCTGCCCAGCATGAAACTGAAAATTTGGACCCTGTTCCCAACGCTGAATGAGAACAAGGACAAAGCTTTGAATAAAGAAAAGAAAAAAAATTTTTTTAACATAACCACACTCCTTTTAATGCACATGCATCGCTCTCCTAGATGATACTATTCCACTGGCCAAAGCAGGGTCTTCAGAACTCAGTATTGATCATAATACCACCCCATAAGGCTATATATAGCCTTAGAAACACTTTGTGCTCTTTAGATGTGGGGACAACAGGAGAGAATGGAAAAAAACAGTGGCTTCTCTGGATAGCTTCACCAGGGTGCCAGGTTATCTAATCCAGTTGTTTGGAGTGAGAAAAATTTCCTGTTAAGTAGCTCACCATCCTTTCCAAAGCTTTGCAGAAACCTTGTGCTCTTCTGCTCTTGGCACTTAGAAACAGTCCAGTCTGTTAGCTCACTGATTAATCCTTCATTCAACAAGCATATGTTTTTTTCATTCACATCGCAGCTCAAATGGGTTTTGCCAATTGCAACTTGCCTTCCCTGGTGATTTGGCATCTGGATTCTCCATCCTGGGATGCTGAGATCTTCCAGGGCCTCCTGAGTCATCTCTGCTGTTCTAGAAGAGTCTCCTGGAGAGGTGGGAAGCAATTGAAGCCCACCCTGAGGACATAGAAGCTGGCAGTAGCCATTTTGGGGTAGCACATTCTACAGAAACACACCGGTGCTGGCCAGTGCCTTTCTGGAGTCCTAAATAAATGTTTATTTATATTTAGTTTTTGGCTGCCCTATGCAGTTTGCAGAATCTTAGTCCCCTGATCAGGGATCCAATCTGTACCCTCCACAGTTAGGGTGCAGCACCCTAACCAGTGGACCACCAGGGAAGTTCCTTGAGAGATTTATTAATTTGCCAGCAAATGAGGAGGGTAGCAGACTAACATCCTGAAAACTACCGTCCTATTCTCTGAAAGAGGGGAGGACTATTTAAGGAGAATTCTGAGGTTTGGGGTGGCAGGACTGCATGACTGAGACATGCAGTGTGTTTGGAGAAAGCGAGCAAAGGTATTTTCCTTGACTTACAGGAGAGGTTTGTTCAAGATGAACTCTCTTACTTTGTTATCCAGAGCAAGTCATTTGCTTCCTAGCATATTGTAGGCAAATTATATTTATATATAAATGTATAATATTTAAGTGCATGTATAAATATATATAACATATATAAAATATATGTATGTGTTCAAATTACTAATGTGGATACACACAAATTTATTTTTATATTATGTATTTGTAATTGAAGAGGGTGTTGGAAGTAGTTGAGGATCCATGCCTCTACCAACTGGATCACGTTATGCCTGAATGTCTGAGACCCAAGGGATATGGCACCTGTGGTTAAAGGTCAGACTAGAGCCAGATTTCCCGGCTTCAAATCCTAGTCCCCCCAGCTACTAAGTTGTATCATCCCTTTTTGTCTCAGTTTTCCCCACTTACAAACGGGGATAGTAATACTAACTCATTGGCTCATTGAGAAGATTCAAAGAGTTGCAATTTGTAAAGTACTGGGAATAGTAACTGCCGCAAGGTAAGACAGTGTGCTTGTTGACTGTCAGCTCAGGGCATTGGCCTTGTCCAAGGTGCTGATGTTCCTGAGGTCTCAGTCCTCCTGGGGACCATGGCTTGTGAGCGTGGATAGTCCCCTTTTCTCTTTTAACAAAGCCATGTACTCCTTGTGCCATGCTCTCTTCCAATTCCCAAACCCTGATGGGGGACTCTATGCAGTTTAATCGCTTACCTAGTAATTCTAGTCGTGGCTCTGTCTGTCACTCACTGGAAATGTCCGAGCTGTAATGTCTTGCCTCATCTGCGAAGTGAGTTTGTCTCATTGGTCAGCCCTGCCATCTCACTCCCCCCCATTGATAGGTTCTCGTTACTACCAAGTGACCAGATGGGAGGGGTCAGGGGTCAATGGCAACTACCAGGGAAGTCTGGGGGGCTGTTGTGTAAGATCAGAAATGTAGCAGGAACCTGGGCATGGATTCAGGGTGGGCAGCAGGCAGGTGACTTGTCGTTGGCCTGACCGTGACCTTCAAGTGTGCCCCAGACTCACCGTCTCCAGGAGCTGGACTTGCTTCAGGGCTCTCCTCTCTGACTCCGGGTCTTCCTATCTGAGGCCGGGACTCTGGACTAGACTTGAAGCTGCAGCAGGTGGGGTAGCTGCTCCCTGCATAAAGCCATTCTTTGCTGTAGAAACAGTCAGCCATGGCTCCAGGGTATGGTCAGGCCATGACCCTCGCTGGGCCTTCTCTGGGGACAGAGGCGGTCACTGCACCTCAAATCAGAGGTGGCCTGATTTCCTGCAGCCCAATCCCTTACCTTCATGTTTTTATGGGCAGCTCAGCTCCTCCCTGGCCCAAGGCTGATAAGCCAGCTGCTGATAAAAAGGACATCTGAAGCCAATCAGTCGCCAGATCTTTCAGGAGTCTCTGGTTACCACACTTCTGTCTCCATCTCTTCTGGGTCATAGCTGAGGCCAGGGCCTCCCTGAAACATGACCCAGCTAAGGGAGCATCTCCCTCGCCAGCAACCTAATGGGGGCTGACAGCGGAGGGCTTGTGGGGCAGCTGGGTCCTGCAAGACGTTGGCTGCTGCCTCCCAAGACCCATGGAAGCTGGTATTTTCTGAAGCTGGAACTTCCTGCCCAGCTGTTCACATGCGCTCAGGCATAGGGAGACTCAGATTTGGCTATTCCCAATTCAAACATCTGGGGTGCTATCCTAATTGAGGGGACAAGGGAACAGACGCTGTTTTGGCTACATGAAAACACAGCAGCAGTAGCTGGGCTGCCTTTGAAATGGGCAAAGATGGGTGAGAAGGAGAAGAAATAGATAATCATTATGTAACCGACACGTGCTAAACATAAACTAACAAGCTGTGCAAGCTAGCCCTATTCTGAATCCAATATTAATATTTAATCCTCTCTACAGCCCCATGAGGTGGTCACTATCATCATTCCCATGTAGAGATGATAACTGAGGCAAGGGAGGTTAAATAACTTGCCAAAGTCTTCACACAACTGAGTGATGGAACCAGAATTTGGATCCAGGCACTGCGGCCCCTGAAAGGTTGCTCTTAAGTGTTCATCATCTTGTTTGATCCTGCTAATCCTCTTGAAAGTCTTATTCTCATTCTTCAGAAGCAAGAGAGACTCAGAGATTTTATGTAACTTGTCCAAGATTCCACAGGAGTAAGTAGTAGGGCTGGTATTCAAACCCAGGTCTAACCTGACTCAAAACCCTTTGTTCTTTTCCCCAATCCAGGGCAAACCACAGACTGCAGGCCAAATCCATTCCACCACCTGTCTTGTAAATAAAGTTACTTTCATTCTACAACAGAATTGAGTACTTGTGACAGAGATCTTTACAGAAAATGTTTGCTGAAACCTACATTAAAAATATGGAATGGATGAAAAGCAGCAACTTCCACTTCAGCCTATTAGGAACTACCTAGAAAGGTAGTCATTCACATTTTAGTATGAATTCGTCCACCACAATCTGTAATTGCTCCCTGAGAGTATATCATAGTCAAAAACAGAAGGGCCCTTGAAATTCAGCCCTAGAAATGAAAAAGTGAAGCTAGTTAGCTAATTAGATATCCATTTTCTAATTAACTGAAAATATGTGTCAACCATTTACCTCCCTTCAAACTTCTGTCCTAGGTTATAAAAAGAGTCATCTGGGTGAAAGGCGGGCCACGATGACCAGAAACTCTTCATTACTAGCTGGAGACTGATCATAGAAGACCCACTGGATTTACTTAATTTTGCAGCAGTTTACCTTCAAGCCAGAAAGAATACCACTACCAGATATATGACACAGGAAATATCCTTTATTATTCTGTACACTGAATTTTCCATGAAGAAGACAGCTTTTAAAATAAACACACACCAGATATGGAAATCTGCATGACATTGGAACAGTCCGTGACACAGGGCACCATTGAAAGAGTCCTTGCTTACACAGAAGTGGATAAACAGAAGGATGAGGGCAGGAACCCCAAAAGCAACTTCACATTCACCAGAATTTTGGTGACTCGTACGACTGTAACTATAGCCAAGCTGCACATCCTCAGAGCTGTGGATTTTCGGACTCACGAGGGCATGACACCTGTTACCCTCAAATTCCTTCAAACAAAAGGGTTGCATTTATTTTTTAAAATACCAAGTGTTTCTGTCAACAGCTGAAGAAATACTGGAGAAAGAGGAAGTGCTGAATGTGCAGAAAACATTATACTTCCAACATGTCTCTACTTAGTAGATTGTTACCGGTCACTAGATCATTCGGGAAAGCCCTCCAGTAAGCTGTGTGCTTCCTTCTCTGTAAATTTAACATAATAACATTGCTATGGAGACAGGATTTTTTTTTTTTTTACTGGGTGAGACCTTCAATCCTCTGATTCAACCACTGCTTTTTTACAGACAGAGAACTCTGCAGCCCACAGAAGTGGAACCCATGCCCCCAGGTTACCCGATAAGACAGTCACAGACTCAGTCTGGTAAAACTCTAAATGCTGCACTGCTTCCCCCCACGCCACACTCCCTCTGTTCTCCTGTCCATGGCTTTCAAAGGATAGAAACGAAACGAGCTTGGTGAACTTCTTACTAAGAAATGACATCTTTGGTAAGAATGTTTAGTCTCACTCACATTACCAGGATCCTTTGGCAAGAGACAGGCCCCCACCTGGGCTGGAACCCCTCTGAGAATTAAGGCAGCTTCGAGGACCTTTATTTAGCAGGATATTTGGCAAGAGTCTTCAGGTCCCCTTCACCTCTGTCTCATTCGCATCTGGAATGAAGACCAACTCACAGGTCGACACTAAATAATTAGACATTGAAGAGATGTTAACGGAATGATCTTAAACAGATATTTCAACACTTCGTGGAAAACAAAAATTCTTTACAAATCTAGTAAAATAGCAAAAGTGCCCTATACAGTACACAAGAGCACCCTTATCCTGGGTAACCTCTATAATAATAATAATAAAATGTCCTCAAAGAAGAAGTCAAACACCATTTATGATAAAGCCCACGCTCTCTTCTCGTTAAATGTGGGTGAAAGGTGAACCCAGAAGGTCTTCCAACACCTCATGAGAACGTCCACGGGTGTCCCAGGTCCCCCTACCCCCAGAGCTGTTCCCCAGGCTCGGGAGTCAATTCTCCCCAGAAAGCAGCACTATTGGGCTGGTTGGTGTTGGGTCAGCTAGCACCACATTTCCAAATTCGCCCTCAGACATATGTCTGGAAGCAGAAGGGCCACATACAGACGGCAAGAGCAAACGGCAGGATTTGTCTGAAGGGGGCCCCTGGTACACAGGCTTTTCTGACTCATATCTGCCCAGCAGACTCAGCTCTTCACATGCCACTGTTCCCTAGAGCAGGGGCTCCCAACCTCCAGGATCTAACACCTGATGACCTGAGGTGGAGTAGAAGTAATAACATTACAAATAAAGTGCACAATAAATGTAATGCGCCTGAATCATCCTGAAACCCTCCCCACCCCGGTCCATGGAAAAACTGTCTTCCATGAAAGCAGTCCCTGGTGCTAAAAAAGTTGGGGACCATGGCCCTAGAGTGGCTCTTTTCATCGAAGGAAGTCAGTGAAATACTTTCCTCCCTGGCAAACAGCTAGAGGAGAATAAATGACATCTCCTCCCCTCTTCCCTTCTTCCAACACATTGCTCCTTTGCTAAGAAATAAATACTCCTTGGCCACTTGACTGGATGGATTGTTGTTTACATTTCATGACAGCCCTGGGCATGGTGAACCATATTGTGCTGGGAATGTCAAACTGCTCTCAGCTTAGAGTCAGAGTTGAGAGTTGAGGGTCCGACTGGATCCCTTAGTAGCTGAGGAACCTTGAACAAGAATGACAGAAATGTTGGACCTTGGTTTTCTCATCTGGGAAATGGGGACAGAGAAGCCAGCCCTATAGAATCTGCTGGGCGGATGGGAGGCAACGTGAATGAAAGTGCTTTGTAAAAAAACAACAAAAAAGTCATACCTAGGGAGGAATTACACTTCAGGGGCGGATTTGGAGTCACAGGTGGGACCAGAAAACCACCAGGCACCGGTCACCCCGCTCTCGTTCCCACACCTGTTTATTCCACTCAGTTGGGTGCTTCCAGGCTGCACCTTTCTCAGGGTCTAAGGCACCTGCTACTTGGGTTGTCTCTGATTTCTAACTGGACTTTTTTATATGAGAAGATCCAAAGTCTCCTGAGGTTCCCGCTTTAAAGAAAGACATAAGGAGCCTGACTCAACAGAGCTCTGACAGAAAATCCATCCCCCTGCCCCCAGCCAGCCCCCAAGTAATCATCTGCCACGGACTCCGCAATCAGTAGATCAGGCTCCGAGACTGCCCGCCCCCTGCCCCCTGCCCCGCCCCACTTTCCCTACAGCACCTTTGGGGTGTCACCCTGTACTCCCAGTGAAAATGATGTGGCCTCGTTTTTACCCCCAAGATTCTGCAACAGGGCCTCTCACAGTCAGAACAAGAACCCACAAGTCTAGGTTTCCGAGCGTATAAGGAACTGATACCACAAAGAGAAATTCCAAATAGATGCCACCGACTATAAATCACCTCTGAATGAGCCAACACTAACCAGTACGCACCACCAGAGGGCATCACTCGTGAGAGTTTATCAGAAATCAACCTAGAAATGCTTCCCAACAGCCAACCTGCTCCCTCAGCTCGGAATATGAGTGACCGGGGAGCGGTGTCCTGGGTTTCCGTGCTGCTCTCATGAAGAGAGACAAAAGGAGTTTTCAGGGCCCACTCCCCGTCACTCAAGAACCCCTGGTCCACACTGGGGGGGATTCCCACAGAAAGGCTTTGAAGGTATCTGTGAACAACACAGAAACAGCTGTCTGTCGGATGGCCTTTGGACACTGACCTGGCTCTGTGAGGAGAGCAGAGGGTCCTGTGGTGGAGACACACAGCTGGCCTTGCTGGCTTCCTATCCCGAGTCCCCGAGAAAGGACCCAGGAGCCACAGGTAGCTCTCTGGGTGTCATGTCCCTAACAGAGCAAGACCCCCATGTGGCCTCTATAGACTCATCTGGTTCCTATGCAGAAGCCACTTACTACGACACCCACAGCTCTGAGCCCTCTGAGCACCAGAAGCCAGAAGAATGTCCCAGAACACACACAAATCAAACCCAGGTCAATTGGAATGGAAACCATGAAGACTTATGCTCATGATCCCCGCAGAGGTTCTATCCATGGACTGCATAACAGCAACAAATATCCCCAAAGCTCCCTGATCAAGGTCCAGCACTGGCCAGGGCAAACGAGAGAGGTTAGATCTAGATACCACTCCCTTGCCCCCCAAACTCAGCCTGGCTGCTTATTCGTGTTTTGGTTTTACAGTGTCTGACCCAAAAAGCAACATCCTCTGTCTGATTTGGTGGACTGAAGATTTCTTCTGTGGCCCAAAGTGCCAGCCAGCACGGCAGGGAGTTCTGCCTGAGACATGAACCTCAGCCCCAGCTGGTTCCCACAACTGGGGGGAGACTTCCTTGAAACTAAAGAGGTTCAACAGAAGTCATTTTTCCTGTTCCCTCCTCTCCTCTTCTCCCACGAGGCTTAGCAATCCAAAAGCCCACAGCCCTCGGGCCAGGTGAACAGAAGGTGAAAGAAAACCAGGTCATTAAATCAGTGGTAACTTGGAAAAGAGGAAGAAGAGGGGGTCGGAGAGGAATCCCAAGACAGTGTCCGGGGCGGCCTTTGACCTGAACATTGGCGCTGCAGGGTTCCTCCTCGGGGCCAGGTTCAGATGGCCAGCCAGTGCTGCAACTGCAGAGAGAGACAGCAAGGCCAGGTTCAGGGCGGGCAGGGGCGGAGGGACGGAGGCTGCCGAGAAAGACAGTGGGACAGAGGGGAGGGCAGGAGACACAGCTGCTTCCTTCAAAGACTCGGAGAACACCCAGGAGGATTCCCTAGCTGTCACACGGGGACTTCCCTGGTGGTCTGTCCGGTAGTTAAGAATCCACCTGCCAATGCAGGGGACACGGGTTCAACCCCTAGTCCGGGAAGATTCCACATGCTGCGGGGCAACTATGCCCATGCACCACAACTACCGAGATCTTGCGCTCACATGCTGCAACTGAAGCCCGTGCTCTGCAACAAGAAAAGCCACCGCAATGAGAAACCCGAGCACCCCGACCAGAGAGCAGCCCCCGCTTGCCGCAACTAGAGAAAGCCTGTGCAGCAATGAAGATCGAGCACAGCCAAAAATAAATTAAATAAAACAGAAAAAATTAAATTGTAACTTTCACGGAGACCCAGAAAGGGCAAAGGAGGCTTTGCAAAGTCACACAATCAGTCTGAAGCAGAGGAGTCACAGGGAAACTCCTCAACCCCCACCCCCACATTTTGAAAGGGAGAAGAGTAGGACTTAGATCACCAAGTCACTGATGTACTTGCAGCGCTTCCTGCAAGATAAGCAAGCCTCAGCCTAATCTGGGGATACTCCACAGTCACAACTCAAAGAGGGAGAACAGAGTTGAGGAAATTGGGGCCTCTGGTACCTCGGGACCCAGGAGCAGAGGGGCAGGTGGAAGCTGGGAGTGGGCAGAAGACAGGCCCCTTTTCCTCTGTTCCTAATATCACACCCCCAGGCGCTAGAGCCCGCAGCGTTCTGGGTTTTCTGGCGTGTGTGGTGTGTGGTCCTGCCTTAGCACAGCAGGGAGCAGTGGGTCCCCACCCGCAGTCCCCGCCGGAATGGTCCAAGCTGCACCTACTTGGAACTGCCTGATGTCCCTCTGGGCCACCAGGTGATGCTCGCTCTCTGGAGTTACGCCATAGGCCAGTCTCTGTGAGGATGGAGAAGTGGAGGAGGGCTCAGCTTGGCCCAGGGACACCCTTCCGGCAGCCCGGAGCACACCCCACATCAGGGCCGCCTGCCGCTTGTCCTACAGGCCCGCGTGGACAGCAGGAGAGGTTTGTACAAGACGCTCTCCACCCTGGCTTATGGAGCTGGTCAGTTGACTTTGAGATACGCATTCAGCGAATGCTTACTGAGCCGATGACTGCTGTCACACACTGGCCTCGGCCCTGGGGGCCCAGGGCTGAAGGACACCCACACACTCTGCTTTGGGGGAGCTTACAGCTCACGGAAGGGGCTGACACTGAACAGACACACACACAGGCAATTTTACAACCACAACCGGAGGCAGTGCTGCAGACAAGCTCAGAGCACAGTGAGCAAACAGTTGACAGAACCTCAGTCCTGCCTGGGGGCTGGGGCCACCTTCTTAGGGGGCTAGACACAGGGTGGACTCAGGGAATGTGTCTGGAATCAATGTCTGATCACTAGGTGGGGGGACCTCAAAGTGTGAAGAATAAAAAAACTCAAAGTAGGTCCTGGTTCCACATCCAGGATGAGGTCACTGAACATGGTCCACCCAGTGGCCCAGAAGTTCCCGGACCGTAGGATTTCATGAACAGGAGACGTGGCTCACAGGGGTGGGGGTGGACACAGCCCTGCCTGGGACCCTCTCCCCTAAGTTCCTGCATGGCTCACTCATTAGGTCCTCCTGTATGTATCTGTCCTCTCATGAGAACGTGAGCCCAGGGGAGTGGGTCTAGTGCTGAGAATACAGCCTGCCCTGTTCTGACTCTCAGTAAGTATGAGTAAAGACAGTGGATAAAGAAGGAATGAAATCAGGACACGAGGAAAAGACTATCATCATTATTTACAAAGAAACGGCATTTAACCGAAGAATAGGGCAGACATAATTTCAGTTAAAAGTCTCTGGTTCCCAAATACTGATCCTGAATGTATGTATCTGCAATGCACACAGCTCAGAGAAGAAATGCACTTTGGAAATCTCTCTTTAGGCTGATCAGGTATCAGATCCAGGAAAAAGGCAGGTGAAATCCAAAATACCAGGTCATGGTGACTACAGATGGGGATAGTGGGAGATGTGTGCGGTGATGACAAACCTTAGGAGATGAGACAGGAGTGGGCGCAGTTAATGCAGACTAATTCCTCCTTAGGGGACTGGAGGGCTGAGCTCATCACGGTGACAATAGTAGGAACAGAGGGGCAGGACACTACATATGACAGGCGACATAAGAGCAGGCATCATGTGGGGGCGATCGACCGTGTGCCAGGCACCAGGCTAAGCATTCCCTTTCACCTCTCAAGGGCCACGTGATTATCCCAGGTTACAAAAGTGGGACCTGCGGCTTGCGGGTAAATAACATGGTCAACATGGTGGGTCCGTCTGACTCTAGAGTCTGTGTCCTGTCTGTCTCTCTCTTTTAAAGATTTATTTTATTGAAGTATAGTTGATTTACAATGCTATGCAAGTTTCTGCTATATAGAAAAGTGACTCAGCTATGTGAGTGTGTGTGTGTGTGTGTGTGTGTGTGTGTATTCTTTTCTCATATTCTTTTTTTCATTGTGTGTGTTTTTTTAAACTTTTACAGTGGTGTGTTGGTTTCCGACATACAACCATGTGAATCAACCACAGTCACACATACATCTCCTCTCTTTCCTTCCTGTTTGTCTCTCTCACTCCAGCAGGAATGACTTGGGATGCCCCTTCTCCTGCTGTCCCCACCCTCCCTGCTGTCCCCACCCTCCCTGCTTTCCCCACCCTCCCTTGCTGTCCCCACCCTCCCCAGCTNGCTGTCCCCCACCCTCCCCAGCTGTCCCCCACTCGGCCCTGGGCTGGTCCAGAGCTCACCTCTCGAATGGAGCCCCGGGTGCTGAAGAACTTGTAGACGACGTAGGCGGGCACCAGAACCATGGAGGAGCCAGCGATGCCCCATCCGACCCAGTTGGCCCAGAGTGGGAAGATGTAGTCATCATAAGTGAGTGGCTTGAAATTGATGATACTCACAACCACCACAAACTGGGGGGAAAGGATACAAGGATGAGGGAGAAGAGAGACAAGGGGAGACGGGGGAGGAGGTGGGAGGGAGGGAGAGACGCAGACAGGGGCCAGAGAGAAGTGAGGACCGATGCATGAGATGGATGCAGGGGATGGAAACATATTAGAGAGAAAGGCTTCAAGGAAGGATGGATCATGAAAAGGAGACAAAGAAACAGGAGCAATACAAAGAGAAGAAGACTAGAAAGATGACCTTGGAGCTGGGCTGAGGGGCAGCACACACAGCCCCCGCCCCAGACCTGGCTCCGGGTTGGACACCCTGCTCACATGGAAGCCTCCTTGGAATCAACAGGGCAGGCGGAGCCTCCTGAGTAGGTCTCTGCATCCCAACCTCCTCCCCTTAGAAGCCAAGATCCCCACCTCCACCCTCACCCCGGGACGCTCCCACCACACACTACACACCAGGAGGAAGGCAGGGCTGACAAACTTCCAGCAGAGTCTCCAGTACAGGCCGGGCTTGAACCCCATCATCTGCTGGATGTCGTTGCTGAACCTGTCCACACCTGCGCACACACAGGGTGGGCCCGTCACTGCGGCCCCCACAGAGCCCGGGGCTGCCCACTCCCGTCTGCTGCCTCCCTGTGGGTCTGCCCCCAGGTGGAGAGCAGAAAGCTGGGGCGAGCAGGGGCACCCTGGCTCATAGCAGACCTGAGATGGGCACTCGGCTGGTTCAGAACAGGCGAGAACACACTCAAGGGTAGCGTCCCCTTCTATGAGTAACCCCAATTCACTTTTCAGCAGGAAAACCAGGGCTCAGGGAGGGGACTTGTCCCTGTTACACAGCCACAGTGGCCTGATCCCAAAGCCCATCTCTTTCCTCTTGCTTCCTGAACCTTAAAACAATGATGACTGTGGATTCAGAGGCTTCCCTGACTTTAATCTGGTAGAAGAGACGAGACTCTTTCTGGTGAGCAGAAAAGAGTGAGAACAGGATAAACACGTTAATTGTGATACACTGGGGGCTTTCCCTGTGGTGCTAGAGGTAAAGAACCCGCCTGCCAGTGCAGGAGACATAAGAGACACGGGTTCAATCCTTCGTTCAGAAAGATCCCCTGGAGGAGGGCATGACAACCCACTCCAGCATTCTTGCCTGGAGAATCCCACAGACAGAGGAGCCTGGTGGGCTAAAGTCTATAGGTTGCAAAGAGTCGGACACGACTGAAGCGACTTAACACACATGCACGGGGAAAAAAGCAAATGACAACACATTTCACTTTCTACCAAGTTCTCCCCGTTCAGCTCCAAGATAAGGTTGCCAGAGAAAATACAGGACACTCAGTTGCATTTGATTTTCAGAGACAACAATATAAATTTTAGTTTAAGTAATTTCATGCAGTATTTGGGACATAGGGATATATGCTAAAAAAAATTACTATCTGAAATAAGGGGTCTTATTAACAAGGGGTCTTGTATCCTGGGTTGACAAAATCTGGCAGCCCTACTCTAGAATGAATGGCATGGCTCAGGGTGCAGCAGTTTCCTCTGAATTCCTCTCTTAACAGCTGACACCGATGCCTCTGGGGCCTTTGCCGCCTTGTGTTAAAGGGAGTTCATGCAAAGATGAGTTGAGAGCTATAACCAATATAAGTCACTTATACAACTCTGGGATCAGCCAGTGACAGCCCTGGAGATGGAAAGCCCCTTTGCCTGACCAGGTGAAGAGTCTCCAGAAGTTCAGGGGGCTGAGGCTTTTCCACACACACTCAGGGCCCAGGACCTACCATAAAACCAGGAGACGCCGATGGCTTCCATGAGCACAGCAAAAAGAATGGAGGTCCCCGCCGCAAATGTGTCCAGCAGGGTCAGCACATATATTCCACCCTGGGGCGTGGACAGAGAGAGCCTGAGGCCTTCGTGGCTAGAAATAGCGATCAACTGTTACATCCATCAAATTGAGCTCTCCCCTGTCCAGCTCACTCAGAACTCACCCCTATCCCATACTCAAGCAATGAGGTTTACGGTGCTACGTATTCTAACATAGACTTTCTGGGGTCACTGGGTCTGAGGGTGGGGACTTCAGCCAGTAAAAAGCAAGCTGGGGGACTTCCAGGGTTCGATCCCTGGTCAGGGAACTAAATCCTGCATGATGAAACAGAAAGATTTCGCATGCCTCAGAAGATCGAAGATCCTACGTGCTACAACCAAGACACGGTACAGCCAAATAAATGAATAAGTCAGTATTAAAAAAAAAAAAAAGCAAGATGGATTTTATCAATGAATAAAATGTTGCATCCCATGTAAGTAACAAAGGATGCTGCAGCCATCAAGCCGTCACATTACAGCTGCCCTGAAGGTGAGCCCTGGGGGAATTCAGGATAGAAACAGGATGCCTGCCATATAGCAACCAACTGCTGCAGTCACCCCCTGTGGGGGCACTCAGCATCTGAAAGTGTGGATACTGGCCCCAGATAGCAGAGCTGTATGTCAAAGGAATGATTTCAATGAGCCCAGACTCTTGCATCTTCCTATACAGAGAAAAGCACTAAACTCCTTCAACTTGAGATGTCTGGTTTTCTTTAATTAACAGTAATCTTTTGATGTTCCGATTTCCTTGTTCTTTGTTGCAAAAACTCATATATTCTTGAGGCAGGAGATAGATGGGCTCTGGGTTTGACATTTACAACTGGCCCCCTGTTCACACGTACCGGGGCGATAAAAAGACAGGCTCCAGGCCAGATACTCACTACCAGCCCTCTGTTTACATTTCCTGAAGCAAGAGACTAATGGGCCCTGGGCTACATGTTTAGGACCAAAGGCCTGCCTACATTTTGAGATCCACACTTCGATATGACAATAGGAATACCGTGGGTAACCAGGCATTGGGTACTTCACTGGCGTGAACAGAGAGGGTTTAAACCCTGTTAAGAGATCAAGAGGTCATACGTTTTCCATCCTTGGGCCAGGGAGACACTCCACATGTGCAAAAGGCTTCCTGGGATCAAAAATGCAGGGGATGCCAGACCATACTAACGCCAGACACCCTCCATATGCCTCTGCGATGAAATCTATCTTGACTGAGAAACGTGTGCACACCCAGGGAAGGGTCCTGAGGTAAATTAGCCATGGGGAGGTCAAAGCAAGACGACTGGCCAAGAAGAAGATAAAGACCTGGAAGACTTCCCCTTTAACAATGATTTAAACCTTCCAAAGGTGCGACTCTAGCAGCTCTGTGTTCACCCATGCATCTTTCCACATGCACTCTGCTTTTCTAATATATATTTTACTTACCTCTATACATTCCGTCTCCTTGTCTGAGTTTTCCTTACAAGGCAGTCAAGGACTAGGGACAGAGATTCCAGGCACCAGCCCCTATGGTCTAATGTTTAGGATTCCTCGTTTCCACCCAGGCAACCAGGGTTTGTTTCTAGTCAGGGAACGAAGGTCTTGTTTCCAGCCACTGCTTACTGCAAGCTACTGCTTCCTGCTGCATGCATCCGAAATCATCCTGGCTCCTCCCTGACCTCATCGGAACAGCACCTCAGAGCTATCTGAGATGCTGAGCCAGGCTTAGGGCTTCCTTGGTGTTCAGATGGTAAAGAATCTCCCTGCAGTGCAGGAGATCCGAGTTCGATCCCTGGGTCATGAAGATCCCCTGGAGAAAGGAATGGCTACCTGCTCCAGTATTTTTGCCTGGAGAACTCCAAGGAAAGAGGAGCCTGGCAGGCAACAGTTCATGGGGTCTCAAAGAGTTGGACACAACTAAGCAACTAACACTTTCAGGTTAAGTCCTCAGTTTGGTTTACCAAATAAAACCTAATTCTCAACTTTCGGGTTGTGCACTTTTTTCAGCTGACAGTTTAAAATGGCCCTTTGCTGCTCCCCACCCCCAAACCAATAAGCAGGTTTACCTGGATGTCCTCAGGCTTAGAGGGGATAGACGACAATGGGATGTAATTCTAGAGGACTGGACCACAGAGTTCAGGATACCAGGTACTGCCATGGTCCCCCTAGTCCTACCTTCTGCTTCAAGTCTGGGAATATCTAACTGGATTAAAATGCGGCCTCAGGAGCCCCAGGTGACCCAGAGCCAAGCCCCCCTCACCTTGGTTATGCAAAACAGAGCCAGAAGGAAGGTTCCAAAGGAGACAGCAAACGTGAAGAGTTTCCGGTGTCGCTTCAGAACCTGGAAGTCATCGGCCAGGCCCGTGATGACCGCCTCCATGCCTCCCATCTGGAGGGAGGACCGGGCAGGGTGGGATGCAGACGTGAATGACAATTGTGGCCCACCATATCAGCAAACAAAGGATGCTCTAGCCATCAGCTCCCAACCAAAGGTACACCCTGAGGGGACTCAGGATGGGAAAAAACAGGATACTGGCCCTAGATGGCTAAGGTACATATTAAAGAAATAATTTCAGTGAGCCCAGACTCTTGCATCTTTCCCTTAAAGAAAAGCACTAAATTAGTTAACTTGAGATGTTTGGTTTTCTTTAATTAACACTGACCACCTGGTTTTTGTTGCAAAACTCCTATATATCCTAGCTCCTACCTTACCTCTTCAGAACAGCCCCAGAGCAATCTAATAGGCTGCCTCTCAGGCTTGAAGTCCTTAGAAAATTCACCAAATAGACCATAATTACCAGCTTTAAGGCTGTGTAAAGTTTTTCAGTCCAGGGAGTCCCTCTCTGGACCCCAGTCTCAGGTCCCTGGCTCCCTCGGACTTCTCAGCAGCTCTGAACTCACGCACCCCCAAGAGATTTCTAGAGAAATCGGCAGGTTCAACTTTCTCCCTGTCCTCTCACCCCACTTCTGCCCTGTTGTCAGCCAAGCTCAGAACTCAGAAACCATGTGAGAGGGGGCCAGGAGTTAACTCCTATCTCCCCCTTATCAACAGGGACCTGACTCCTGTCCACTCACCCAGCCTGAGTGGATGCTGATGAAATACCACGGGAAGAATGGCTGGTGAGAGAACAGGAGTTACAAAACTCTGAATTCAGTTTCCCCGTCTGTAAAAGCAGAGTACTGGGCTGGCTTATCCCAGGTCCCTTCTAATATAAATTTCCACGGTGCCAAGGTGGTTTCTCCTGGTTCCTGGCAGGTGGCTCAGAGACAAAAAGAAAACCTGCCTCAAAAGCCGGAAAAGCAAAAAAAGCCAAGTTGAACCCCGGGGCAAGAAAAACCCCTGCAGGAGGGCACAGCAACCCACTCCAGTATTCTTGCCTAGAGAATTCCGTGCACAGAGGAGCCTGGCAGGCTACAGCCCATGGAGTCGCAAAGAGTTGGACACAAGTGAGCACACATGCCATCTTCATTGCCTTTCTGAGTACTGATTTCTTTGCTTGCATTTAAATAGGGCCTTCTGGAAACAACTAATAATCAGGGTTTTGAATGGGGGAAAACCTGAGACTTAGCAGTGTGTGTATATTTGGGGAGGGAGGGTCAGAGGCTAGTCTCTGGGGGCGGATGGTATCCTGAACAAGGTCACTCACCGAGCTGTCAATTCCCAGAGCCAGGAGCATGACGAAGAACACGATGGCCCAGAATGTGGATCCCGAGAGGGTAGAAATGGCTTCTGGGTACAGGATGAAGACTAGGCCAGCTCCTGGAAGAAACATACAATTGTGGCCCACCATATCAGCAAACAAAGGATGCTCTAGCCATCAGCTCCCAACCAAAGGTACACCCTGAGGGGACTCAGGATGGGAAAAAACAGGATACTGGCCCTAGATGGCTAAGGTACATATTAAAGAAATAATTTCAGTGAGCCCAGACTCTTGCATCTTTCCCTTAAAGAAAAGCACTAAATTAGTTAACTTGAGATGTTTGGTTTTCTTTAATTAACACTGACCACCTGGTTTTTGTTGCAAAACTCCTATATATCCTAGCTCCTACCTTACCTCTTCAGAACAGCCCCAGAGCAATCTAATAGGCTGCCTCTCAGGCTTGAAGTCCTTAGAAAATTCACCAAATAGACCATAATTACCAGCTTTAAGGCTGTGTAAAGTTTTTCAGTCCAGGGAGTCCCTCTCTGGACCCCAGTCTCAGGTCCCTGGCTCCCTCGGACTTCTCAGCAGCTCTGAACTCACGCACCCCCAAGAGATTTCTAGAGAAATCGGCAGGTTCAACTTTCTCCCTGTCCTCTCACCCCACTTCTGCCCTGTTGTCAACCAAGCTCAGAACTCAGAAACCATGTGAGAGGGGGCCAGGAGTTAACTCCTATCTCCCCCTTATCAACAGGGACCTGACTCCTGTCCACTCACCCAGCCTGAGTGGATGCTGATGAAATACCACGGGAAGAATGGCTGGTGAGAGAACAGGAGTTACAAAACTCTGAATTCAGTTTCCCCGTCTGTAAAAGCAGAGTACTGGGCTGGCTTATCCCAGGTCCCTTCTAATATAAATTTCCACGGTGCCAAGGTGGTTTCTCCTGGTTCCTGGCAGGTGGCTCAGAGACAAAAAGAAAACCTGCCTCAAAAGCCGGAAAAGCAAAAAAAGCCAAGTTGAACCCCGGGGCAAGAAAAACCCCTGCAGGAGGGCACAGCAACCCACTCCAGTATTCTTGCCTAGAGAATTCCGTGCACAGAGGAGCCTGGCAGGCTACAGCCCATGGAGTCGCAAAGAGTTGGACACAAGTGAGCACACATGCCATCTTCATTGCCTTTCTGAGTACTGATTTCTTTGCTTGCATTTAAATAGGGCCTTCTGGAAACAACTAATAATCAGGGTTTTGAATGGGGGAAAACCTGAGACTTAGCAGTGTGTGTATATTTGGGGAGGGAGGGTCAGAGGCTAGTCTCTGGGGGCGGATGGTATCCTGAACAAGGTCACTCACCGAGCTGTCAATTCCCAGAGCCAGGAGCATGACGAAGAACACGATGGCCCAGAATGTGGATCCCGAGAGGGTAGAAATGGCTTCTGGGTACAGGATGAAGACTAGGCCAGCTCCTGGAAGAAACATAAAGGACCTCATCAATGGCTGGGGCTGTGGGTCTGAGCTGCAGATGACAGGGGAGCATTTTGAGGCCCAATAAGCCCCAGTCCAGCCCCATCAATTTGGTCAGTCATGTGTGGATAGAGCAAACCAAGGTTCTAAAGATGATGGACTGGGACTTCCCTGGCAGTCCAGTGGTTAAGACTCTGCACTTCCAGTGAAAGGGCTGTGGATTCAATACCTGATCAGGAAACTAAGAACCCATATGCCATGTGGTGAGGCCAAGAAAATAAACAAATAAATATGACTGATGAAGCCAGCTCCAAAATAAGGCTGGAAAGAAGGTGAGGTCATCTTAACAAAGTTCTTGAATGCACAGGTGAGAAGCTGAGAGGTGCTTGGGAGCCATGGAAAATTTGTTGAAGAAGGAGGCTGATGACTTGATTTCCCAAGAGTTTGATATCAGTTTCATATCACCAGTATGCCAAAGGTTGATCCCTGGGTTAGAAAGATCCTTTGGAGAAGGAAATGGCAATCCACTCCAGTAATCATGCCTGGAGAATTCCACGGACAAACGAGCCTCATGGGCCACAGTCCATGGGGTCCCAAAGAGTCAGACACGATTGAGTGACCAAGCAGGTACACATGTGCCAAAGAAGCTGACCTTAAACAGCCAAGCCAGAGAGCAGTCCTTCTCCTGGCCAGCTACAGGCAATGGTTCTCAAATCCCACCTCCTACACCTCGTGAGGGATCCTCTTACCCTCAAAACTTTGTGAGTTTTCAGAGTTCATCATAGGCAGCCCCTCCCCAGGTCTCAGCCTCTTTGTGGCCATAAGAATATGAGAAGAAAAAAAAAAAAAAAGAATATGAGAAGCAGTGGGGAAGCATAGGCTCTACTGCAGGACTGGTCAGGGCTCAAACGCTGGCACCATGACTCACTAGCTGGGCGACCTGAAATAACTTTAATAGACTGAATTTCAGCTTTCTCATCTTTAAAGTGGGTCCATTAAGACTTGCCTGGCAGCACTGCCACAACTAAACCAAGATATGTCAAGTGCTTAGCCCAGGGGCTGGTACAGAGTGGGTGCTCCAAAAACCTATCTGGCCTGGCCTAATTCAGAAGATTCTGCCTGGAATTTCTACTGACGGCCTCAAAGAAAGTCTATCCAGCAGCAACAGGGAAAGCCCCATGCCCAGCTCCCCTCGGTCCTGCAGCCACAGGAGAACTGCACAGCTGAGAAAGGGGTGGGTTTCTCAGCCCCTTCTTTCTCAGCGGGCAGGACTACCCACCCACCTTCAGTGGCAACATCCTCAATGTTGACCTTGTGTTCATGGGCCATGTAACCAAGGATGGAGAAGATGGCGAACCCAGAGATGAAGCTGGTGACACAGTTGATGGTGCTGGTCAGCAGGGCATCCCTGGGGAAAAGCAGCACTGTTAGTTCAAGTGGTCTGACTCTTCACAACCCTGCTCAGGGACCATCTATGGAATCCACGGCTTCAAATGCCATCCCCCTCTTCAGTTTGCCTGACGCCATTCAGACCCCAGTGCCCCACCATCCCTGGGTCAGAGCCTGTAGATGTAGGAAATAGGTCAACAACTGCTGGATAAAACACTTTGATACCAGCAACTGATATCAAACTCTTGTTGGGAGACTGAATCACCAGGTTCCTTCTTCAACAAACTTTCTGTAGCTCCCCAGTACCTCTCAACTTCTCACCCAGGCATTCAAGAGCTTTGCTAAGATGACCTCAGCTTCTTCCCAGCCTTCTTTCGTGGGACTCTCTAACACGTACTCTCTGAGCAAGCCAGTCAACTTGCTGGTTCACAAACATACCACCTCTCCTGGCTCTGCTCAGGCTGCTCGTGATCCACCCACTCCACGTCTGCCTATCCCAACCCTAACTCTGCCAAGGCTCACCTCAAATGTACCCTCTATGTTCTCATTGATCCTCTATCAGAGGGCTCATTGCCCCATTTCCTTAGCCTCCCCATAGCCTGTCCCACTGGCATGCATTCATCCTACTCTGTCTTGTACCAGGGATTCTGTCTTAAGCCTTTGACAGACAGTGATAAAGCAGTCCCCATCTATGCCCCTGTCTGAAGGCTTCACAGCACTGGGCCTGCAGGAGGCAGCATTAAATGCTTACAGAGCCAGCTGATCTGGAGCACCGTCTTCTGAGCAGGCTTCTTATTCTTCCCTGTGGTCTTAAGTTCTGACCCTGCCAGGGCCCTCACCCCTCGAGCAACCAGCTGGATATTCCGCCTTTGTCGGCCCCCCAGGTGTCAGACAGACAGACAGGCAGTGCTGGCTGCCCTGAAAGCCACACAGTGTCCCTCTGTCACAGCTATGCACTCCCATGATTTTCCAGGGTTAATGGCCTCAACTATGCCAGTTCCTCAGCTTGCACTGTTTAAGAATTGTCCTGAAGTGACATATGTTCACCAGGACCCCCATAGGCCATGTCAGAGTTCATGGAACATCCAGGATGATCTTTACTCTGCCTCATCTCACAGGGAAAGAAACCCAAGAAGAAAAACTGACTTGTTCCAGACCAGAACCCTCTCTCCCACCCCTGTGAGGGTCCCCAGGATTTAGAGCTTTCTGGAGTCCCAGGAAGGATCTTACCTGTAGCAGTTATTGTCAAATTTGTTGTAACTAGCAAATGCAATCAAGACTCCAAATCCAGCCCCCAAGGAAAAGAATATCTGAGTTGCAGCATCAATCCATACCTAAAATGGGCAGATAAAGGCCATCACCCTCTGCTCCCAGAGAACTAGACTACCTCACTGCTTCAGATGGGCTGAGAAGCCCCAGGGATGCTCTTAGACCCAAGAAATGAGATCGAGCCAGAGATGGGGCAGTCACACAACTCCTGCTCCCCAGCAGCCTGCACAAAATCACTGTGGAGAGAGGCTGGGGTCTCTCTGGCATCGCACAGCCTTGGGTGGTCATGAGTAAGCTCACCCTGGAGGAACTCACTGACTGAATTTGATATTTTGATTTTCAAAGAACATTAAAAACTGGAAGTTAATAAACTAAATGCTCCAGGCAAGAAAGTGGATGTGGCAAGGGCAAAGGGTTATGACTATCTCAGGTGTTATGGAGACAACAGCTTCAGGAAGGAGTTACGATTCCTAGGAGCTTGACCAACCCACAGAGAGTGGGGACTCGTTGGTGGCCAATAGGGCTTGCTCCCCTCATCTGATGGATGATGAAATTGCATGCCTGGAAGCCTGGAGATCTGAGTTCCTCCAATTGCTCAGCCTCATGGTCTAGCCCTGGTCAGTTTCACTGTCTATATCTCAGTTTCCTCATCTGTACAATGGGGATAATTTTACCTAGCTCACCAGGACTAAGCCACCATCAGAGCTGAGACGTCTGTCATCTCCCCACTTTGTAAGCAGAGGGTATAACAAGAGAAGCCATATGATGGAGGAAGACAGAGCTGCTCCTTCGGATGGTACTCAGGCTATTTCTACTGTTGGAAAGATTTGACATATGGAAACAGTGCAGAACAGATAGAACTCTGACTTGCTTCACAATTTACAAGGCTGATTTGTTTCTTATGCTGTTATTTTTCTGTCAGTTACGAAGGAAGCGTGTTTTTCTCCTGGTTATTGGACTCTAACACTGAGGTATGCCTGGACAATGGGAGTTGTGTCCCTCCTAAACCTCTGCTGGTCCTCCCTGCCAGGATACTGTGGGTTCAAAAAGAGTATGGGGACATCTTTGGGGATTCTGAGGGGAGCATGCTGAGGTGCTGTCACTGAGGTGCAATGAGGAAGGAGGTTAGAAATCATCTCAGCTGTGATCTGAAGATGCTCAAGGCACTAGGAACCTCCAAGATGTCTCTGCTCCTGGCCTCACCCCGCTGTTTTGGACTCCACTCCAAATTCATCCCACTTGCATAATCTCCGGGCAGGACAGTGAGCTGAAGGAGATGTGAGGAGAGACAGTCAGTAGGGTTTGGGTCTCCCTGTGGCTGATGCTGCTCCTTATGCTGACATCACAGACGGTACCAGAGGCCAGGGTTGGAGACCAGAGTAGAAACAGGTCTGGGGTGTTGGAGTGGGTTAGTGGGTCATGACACTGGGTGGGGATAAGAACCCAGGACAGGATAGTGCTGTCTTTAAAAAGAGGGGGTCTGCAAAGGCCACTTAGAACCACAGATTCCAGATCGTCAGAGCTGGACAGGCTCACGGGTACTGTTGGGTGCAGATGAAACCAGTCTTTGGTCAGATGGAGACACTGCTACTCAGAGTGGGGAGGATCCATCCCAGGCCACATAGAGCACTGAGAACCCTCCACAGCCTGGCCCAAGGGTGGGTGGTGGCTGGGCACTGACCGTGGCCTCTTTTAGGCGGTAGAAGTCGATGTGCAGGTAGGCGTTGATGCCGTTGGAGGCGCCGGGCAGCGTGATGCCATGGACCAGGAGCACGAACAGCACGAGGTAAGGCAGCGTGGCCGTGATCCACACGACCTGGCAGTGGACAAGCTCGCCGTGAGAGCCTGGCTCCGCCGCCCGCGTGGTGCAGGGCTGGGGTGAGGGAGCCAGTCACACCCTCCCTCCACCTCCTTCCCACAGTGCACATGCTGAAGTCTCCGTCACTAGGTCAGACCTGGGGCACTCCAGGACAGCGTGGACAGACTAAGGCTGCACCTAGGAGAAAGTCAGCGCACCGGTGGTGCTGCCACCGAGGAAGCTAAGGGCAGCAAGAAAGAAGACTAGGTTCTCGCAGGGCCCAAGGCCTCCTCTTCTACAAGCTGCCTGTACTGACCCCCAGGTAGAACCAGGCACCCCCACCTGTATGCCCTCCATTGTCCCTCCTCTCTTTCTGCCTTGTTTACCTTCATTCAAGCGTATCCTCCTAAGCTCACTGCCCAAGGAGGGATGTGGTTGGGCAGAAAGTCCCATCTGTAGCAGCTCTTTCTTTTGGGCAAATACAATTTAGGGCAAATACAAACTGCCCTGTCCAGAAACCTGTAAGCGAAGAGGCTGTCCCCAGACTAAGAAGAGACACCTGCCAATCTTGCCCAAGATGAAAAACAAAGAAGCAGGGCAAGGAGAAGGTTGTGTGGCTTCCTTTTTGTTCCTTCTCACCCCTGACTACACATGAAAATACTCTGGGGGAAATTATAGATTAAAAATGTCAAAGTTCAGATTCCATTTTTGGAATTTCTGATTGGATTGGTTTGGAATGGGTCCTGCACTTCGTGCTTTAAAAGCTCCCCCTGGCACATTCCTGGTGGTCTAGCGGCTAAGACTCCATGCTCCCAATGCAGGGGGCCTGGGTTCAATCCCTGGTCAGGAAACTAGACCTCACATGCTGCAACTAAGAGTACAATGCTGCAACTAAGGATCCTGCATGCTGCAATTAAGACTTGGCATAGCCAAATAAATAAATATATATATAAATAATTTTTTTTAAGCTCTCCCAGGTTGCAGGGGACAAAGACAGATGAGGAACATTTATGAAGCAATTTCCATCTGTTAGCCCAGCACCAAGGACCTCTCACCCCATCCTCCCAACTGCCCTGGAGGCTGGCAGGACCATTAATGGGCCTCACTTTGCAGGTGAGGACACTGAAGCTTAGGGGGCATCATTCATCCTGAGGTCACCCAGTAAGGAATGATGGTGTCTGGACTCCAACACAGGGCATCTGACCACAAAGCCGTGTTCACTACTGTATGTTTGAGCCCCAGGTTCAAGTCTTTTCTGTCAAGACTCCTATGAAACCCTGTCCGTCTCTTGGCCTCAGCGTCCCCATTTGTACAAGCACCTGGAGTAGATGGTCTTGGAGAACCTTCTAGGTCAGCATTTAGATGTTCAGTACAGGCTTGTAGTTGCTAAGGCTGGTTCAGCCAAGGACTATGAGTTGGAGGAGGCAAACAGACAGGACTCCAGGGCAGCAAACAGCACTGTGTTTGACATGGTTGCCTGACGCCCTGGGGGCTAACTGACTCCTGACTCAAATCTCCACCCTCCACCCTGCGGTGGTCAGTGAGCCAGGGTCACAGAGTGTGTGGTCTGCGGTAACCCTGTTCCCTGGATCAGACTGTATCCGCCCCTTGCCATCCCAGGTGCCAGCTGTGAAGTCATGCATCTTCCAAAATAGAGCCTTCACCAGCCAAGACAGAAAGTGTGAACATTTGCAATTCATCCCAGGCCAGTTCTGTGGCTGGGACAGCCTGCTAAGGGAAGGTCCATGTCCTATTCTAGGTGTAGTCTGGGAAGAAATAAGCAACACTTGTGGTTTTCTCATGAGCCAAAGTATAAAAACAAAGAGCATAGCAGTGTCCTGTGTGAAGCTCCTTATTCTGGAAAGCCCAATGGACTGCAGGGCCCCTTGCCTGCTCAGCAACCAGAACACTGGAGGACTGGAGCAAAATGCGGGTGGGGACTTTGGGTGACATATCTTCATCGGGGGCGGGGCTTCCTAGGGCAACACCCCTGCCCTGCCAGGCCCCTCACTACACTCCCCAGGGGAGGGGATGAGTCCTCCTCTGAAGGTGCCTCTGTACAAAGGAACGGAGCTTGCTCAGCTCCACTCCTTTTCTCTTTAGCATCAGTCCCCTCAGAGACAACTCCTGCCTGCTCCAGCCAAGTGCTAAACCAGGTGGGGCAGGCTGTACCCCTTCAGCGAAGGCAACAGGAAACTTAATTTGGGGGTGCAGTATTAGAAGTGCGTGGTGGCCCCTCACACATGCCGGCAGCAGCAGTAAACCTCACACACCTGCTGCAGCTCTGTTTTCTGCAGAGGCAAGAAGAGCCCTGCTGCAGACCCCCAGGAGAGGCACAGAGGGGCTGGATGAGGCTGGCCTGGGGCTTCTGTGGCTTCGCTTGCAGCTCCTTCCATTGACAATGCCTTCCTTCTGCTCCATCTTCACCTGCCCCTGTCCTTTGAGTTCTATCCCAAATGCCACCTTCTGCATGGTCTTTGCAGACCCTCTCAGTCTGATGAACGTCCTTCTGCCACTAATGCAGCTTTTTGGACCATAAGAACCATGGTGAGAAAAACCTTACATACTAAGACACATGGATTGCTATAACTGAATCACAAATTCCACAAGACAGCTCTTACTTTACTACAGGAAGTGTACACTGTTATTATCTAGACAATTTCATCTTGAAAAACTGTGGTGACCCCCTAAATTGATTTAATGACAGTTGAAAAACCCAAAGTTTGTATCTCAAAGTGCAACCTGACTACCTGTTGAAAAATTATCTTCAAGGTAAAGAAAGTTAAGTTTTTTAAAAAAGCAAGATCTGTAATAGTATGTATAGTTTGTGACGATTTTTTTGAAATGGAGACACACATGTGTCTCTGGATGGGGATGCAAGAACAAATGTGATTGACTTACACCTGCCTGTAAGACACATAATACTACAATCAATTGAATCTGTCTTATTTACTCTTGCATCACTAGTACTAGCACCAAGCCTGGCACATAGGAGGTATCCATAAATGCTTAAAAAGTTGCATGCTAAGTCACTTCAGTCGTGTCCGACTCTGTGTGACCCCATGGACAGCAGCCCACCAGGCTCCCCCGTCTATGGGATTCTCCAGGCAAGAATACTGGAGTGGGTTGCCATTTCCTTCTCCAGCTTAAAAAGCTGAAGTGGATTCAAAAGAACACTTAGTGAGGTTCCCCAAACTCAGTTACCCACCTACCCTTCTTCCTACCTTCCCTTCTTCCCTCATTAGTTCTTCAATAAATATTTACTGAAGACCTACTATGTGTCAGGTATTGGGATGGTTGTGGTCCAATCCTGGTTCTGCTCTATCTTAGAATTCCTCCACGCCCTGGTCTGCATTTCATTTGGGTTCTTCCTTGGAGCAGAAACCATGTCTCCAACATTCTAAGAGGGAGTTCCACTTCAAGCTCTTCTTAACAGACTTCAATCTCATTCACTGCTGGTGCCTTGCCACCATCTCTGCTATCTATCACTTAACCAAGACTCTAGGAGAACCAGAGAGATCCCTGATGCATCCCACTTTCCAAAATCAGTTGCCTAATGAAGCTTCTCATACATTCAGGCTGCCTGACTATGATAGGTTGTTGCCTTGTAACTCCCAATGAATACACACTCCATGTGTTCCACATTGACTCTGGGCTTTACCACAAGACTTATTTTGGCCCCTGGGACAATAGCAAGCATGATGTAAAGAGAGACTGGAAGAGCTGCTTGCCCATTAGGGTTTGTTTCCTTGGAACATGCTCTTGGAACTCAGCCACTATGCTGTGAGAAGCCTAAGACACACAGCAAAACTATGTGGAAACAACCCAAGGTGCTCTGGTTGACAGCTCCAGTTGAGCTCCTAACCAGTACCAACTGCCCTCAGTGAGTACGTGCCATCTCGAAGGTTCCAGCCCAGTCATGCCCCCAGACATGTAGCCCAAGAAATATCATATGGAGAAAAAGAACTATTTTGCTGAGCCCAGTCAACTCAAAGAAACATGAGAGACAATAAAATGATTGTTATTTTTCCATCATGAAATCTTGAGCTCTTTTATTACACAACAAGAGCCAACCGAAACACTGGATAGAATATTTCCCAGCCACACACTCGTTAATACAATCAAGCTCTACATAGACCCATAGGGTCCAAATGGAGTTGTTGTTCTCATGATGTTTCTCAGGCTTAGAATCGATGTGGGTGATGACCTGATTCTATTCCACCCTGAGGGGCTGGCTATGGGGAGCAGTGTCACCTAAGTCAGAACACCAACTCTGGCAAGCTGTCCTAGGTCATCTAACTCTGTACTCCTCTCCCCAGGAAACCTAAACGTTTGCTTGTGAGGACTCAGCCCTGTGTCAGAGGATGCCCCAGGATTCATCCAAATATCTTCTAGAGCATTCTCTTTGACTCAAAAATTCAGGAGTGAGAATGATCAATTTTATAGTGAAGGAAACGGTTATATTATAGAGAAGGCTGCAACACTGGCATGCAATTTTAGTCCCCCAGAATTTAAGATTTATCAAAGACATGTCAATAGGTTGCTTTGGGCTTTGGATGTCCTCATTCCCTGGTCTCTGCTATTAGGGAAGCTTTGGTGGGAAAGTGTGAAGAACCCTGATCCACTCACACCCCTCACCCTACTGCTGGAGAGTCCGGGGCTTAGAGAAGGGGAAGGATTCCACTCACACCCCTCACCCTACTGCTGGAGAGTCCGGGGCTTAGAGAAGGGGAGGGATTTGTCTGAGGCCTCCAGCAAGCTGGTGGCAGAGCTGGGGTGAAAACCCAGACTTTGATCTTCTAGCATCACCTTTTCCTTTCCCCAACTACCTGAGAAAAAAACATCTTTTTTTTTTTTAGGCCAACCTCCCAACTAAAAGAGAAACAAAGACATTACCTTTCCTGATGTCTTCACTCCTTTCCAGAGGCTAAAAAACAGGACGATGACAACGACGATCAGACAGAGCAAAAGCTGCCACTGGGGCAGGCCAATGTCATGAATCCCACTGCTCTCATGCAGATGTAGGACACCACGCCTGCCGGGGAAGATGGTATCATCAGGGAGAATGACCTCAGCCTTGACCACAGCCAGTCCCTGAAATTGCACATCGATGGAGACGGGCCCAGGCGGCCCCAGTTCCTGCCCCGCATCACCTGGACCTGCTCTGTGCAGACACTGTGCCTAGCACTGCCCTGCTCCAGCCAGCAAGTGTTCTCGGGAGACACTCCCACCCAAGGCTGTTTTTTAAATAGTTACAGAAGTTTTCAACATAATAAATATCTCTGCTTGCCAGGTCCTGGAGAGATGGTGGTGAATAAACAGAGGAAAGGTCTCTGTCCTCACAGCGCTCACAGGCTAAAGCAGAGGATACTGGAACATCTGGCAATGTCTGGAGATATCTTTGGTTGTCACAACTTGGGCAGAAGGCATCTAGAGCAGCGGTCCCCAACCTTTTTGGCACCAGGGACCAGTTTCATGGANTGTTAAATGGTATGAGTGAGCGTTTGGCCAATTTGACTGAAAAAAAAAGTTGGGGGGGTGGGGCTCTGAACCAATTGTGCTTGCCTTGAAACATGCTAAAACGACTCCAGCATCCCATCAGATGGCTGACGTGCCCCCTAACCAACCAGGTGACCCACATGTGTGCGAGGTCCGCTTTAAGGTTCGCAGTGGTTGTCTAGATATTTCATCAGTGAAAAAAGCTAGACTCCAGAGCTGATTTCCAAGAAAAGTGAATCCAGCCTCCTCCCCACTAGTGGCCCCAAGCCTTGGGGGTTAGGACAAATAACTTGGGTTTGTTGCAGTTTTCCAGCAGTTTAATGAAAATGAATCATCGTTAGGTATATGTTCCAGACTTTCCAAAGTCTGTGGGCCAAACGGGCTCAGATCTCACTTGACATTTAAGCGCAGAGGGTTAGTGCTGGGGTCGAGGGAGAGGTCTTTCCCCCACCAGGAACAGGCAGGGAGTAGAAGTTTTCTATTCCTGGTGCTGTTCACCAAGGGTGTCCTTTTACAGATAGAGTTACAGAGCATCAGGGTTTCTTTTTGCCTCGGGCTGTTTGGCTTCAGGCCTGGAGCCTGGGGAGTATTGCAGTTTTGTTCCCTTAAATGATGTGTTCAGTTCATCAGCTTAAAGGAGCACAAGATGGTAAGAGAACTGGCCAGCAGGCTCCAAGAAAAGCAAAAAAAAAACAAAAAAAAACCCAGCTAACCTCCTCAGGGTTGGCACTGGGACTCCTACTTGCTGGGTTCCCAAACTGAAAGTGAGTAACTTTTAAAGCAGAAGCATTTAGATTAAAGGGCCATTACAAACAAATCCCAGAGGCAGCTCATGACTCAGATACTGAGAAGCACACAAAAGCAGCCTGAAGGTGAGAAAAATGCATGAGAAGGGCTCCGATATACCCACAGACACCTCTGCGCTCCTGTCCTGAATACACCCCACTGGAGACTCTGAAGGGACTTCTTCACCCCACTGGAGAAGAAGACAGAGGAGAGGCTCATGGATGGAGTAAGAGCCTCCACCCAGACAGCCTGGATTCAGACCCCTTCCACCACGTCCCTAAAACCTGAACCACTACATTCTTATCTGTAAAACAGGAGTAATTTCCACCTCCACGAACTGTGAAGACTAAATGGGACGTGGACAGGAGGAGATGCTGATGCCCGGATCACAGTAGATACCAGACTTGGGGTGGAGGTGGGGGCACTTAAAAGGATGGAGGAGGGGAGGGAAGCGGGAGGAGAGGACGGGAAGGGAGCTCTGTAGCTCTGTAGAGCAAAAAGCTGCTGAAAATAAGCCGTGGACTCTGCCTTCAATGACATCCCCCAAGAGAATCAGCCTTTTCACAGCCAAGCTCGGAGGAAGTTTAAGGCTGTAATTAAAGCAAGCAGAGCCTCAAAACCCAACTCACCTCTCCTTTCTCCAGCAGCAGATCCGCTGGCCATGAAGATGTCAGAGGAGGAATCAAATAATAACCAGGCTAGACATGAGGCTATCGCTTTCCATTTTAATTTATAAGGACGAGGGTTGCCAAAAGCAAGAAGAAAAATCATGGATTTTCCCTTATCATGAGATGATAAAGGAGAAAGCCCAGAACCAATTACATGTATCAGCAGCACCCTCAACTGCACTATCCTCTACCATCTCCCAGTCCAAACTGCACTCATAAACTGGGAAGACCTAAAACCTCTGCCAGCAAGCTCTCCCGTGGTTCTGGGATTGTCTGAGGCCACACCCCCTCAGAAGACTAAAGGAGGCCCTAGATTTTCCATGACACGATACTGGAAGCACATCAGACTGACCCCAGTAAGAATTTCCTTCTGTCTGAGATGGGAGAGTGCAGTGTCCAAGACAGGGGCTGTCAACCTTGGCTGGATATTAGATTCGCTGGAGGGACTGTTAATAAAGTCCCTGCACCACAGTTGCACCTGGACCAATAAATGAATCTCGAGGCATAGGATCCAGGCGTCAGTGTGTTTTAAGGCTCTCCAGGTGGTTCCAAAGAGCAGCCAGTGTTCAGCATCACTGGGCTAAGAGCTTGGACTTTGAAGCCGGACTTCCTAGGTTCAAACTCACTTCAAATGGCACTTCTAAATGCATGGCTGGGACATAATCAAAGCTGGATAAATGTTAGTTTTCATGATGATTTGATATCATAATTGGATAATAATTTGATATCATAATAGCCATTCAAAATGGTTGGAATCCAATATAACACAGAGGTGAAGCCTGTAGGCTCTAGAGTTTCACTGCCTGGGAAGGCAGGGCCTAGGGTGAAGAGAGCAAAGATCATGGGACAAAGGGTAAGGAGGAGCTCACTCTCAAGAGTCCAGCAGGTGCCATCTGCCAGGGTCCAAATCTTGGCTCTGCACGGGACTAGCCGTGTGACCATGGGCCAGTGATTTACTGTTGCATCTGCAAAATGAAGCTAATGTTTGCAGCCGAGTCACGTATGGAAGAGTTACAGAAACCTAACTGGGTTGGTGTGAGGCTTACATTGATATAATACATACAGAGAGAAGTTAGCAGAAAGCCTGATGCACATGGTAAGTGATTAGCTGTTGATGTGATGGAAAGGAAGACAGGGATGATGGTATTAACTTAAATAGATGCTCACTTCAAGTAATAGTGGTTCTTCAGATCCTTTGGGGGCTGTAGAAGGATTTCAAGTTCCATGACAACTGTGAACCCTCTCCCCACTGAGTTTCCAAATCTATATAATTGTGCACTAGGTCCTGAAAGTCCACAGGAAGCACAGATGGAGGCAGGTGGACATGCAGGTCCAGGATGCTTAGCAAATTCTTGGCCATGGCTCATGGAGGGTAGTTCCTGGGTCCTGAGAACCCCAACTCCCCTCCCCTGGACCCCAGGAGGCAGCAGACTTCCCAGGGGCCACCTTTAACTACATTAAATCTCCTTGGTCTGACTGCACCGAGATGGCAAAGGTGGGAATAGTCCTAACAAACCCCATTCCCTGGATAACCCCATTCTCTGGTCTGTGGCTTAGCGAATACACAGGACCAGAGAAGACTAGCCCTGAATTTGTGAACTTGTCTTTTTTCATTCTCCAGACCTGCACTGTCCAATATGGAAGCAACTGGCTATTTAAACATAAATGAAGGAAATTTCCTGGTTAAGAATCGCCATGTAATGAAGGGGATGTAGGTTCAATCCCTGGTCAGGGAACTCAGACATCGATTGCCATGGATCAGCTAAGCCCACATGCCACAACTTCTGAGCCCCAGCACTACAACTAGAGAATCCACCCACCGCAACAAAAAATCCTGCATGAAACAGAACTAAGACCTGATATAGCCAAATAAACAAACAAATATTTTAAAATGTAAATGAATGAAAATTAGATAAAATTTAAAATTCAACTTTTCCATCACACTAGCCACATCTCAACTACTTACTAACCACACGTGGCGTGCGGCTACTGCACTGGGCCGTGCAAACACAGAACATTTCTATCATCATGGGCATTCTCCCCGGGATCACTGCTCTAGACCAGGAGTCAACAAGGCACACACCCTGAAACTTGGCTGTGACCCATTGAGTGATGCCTGTGAGCTACAGATGGTTTCCATCTTTTTAAAGGGTAAAATTAAACAAAGCATATGCAAGATAGGTATGTGGCCTGCAAGGCCCAAAATGTAATCTTTTACTAGAAAGTTTTCCAACCACTACTCTAGACCATGTGTCCCTTGAGAGTGAGGTTCGAGTGGGATTTACCTGTCTTGCCCCACATCTTGTGCCAGGGACTTTCTGCTTACCTGCTAACACTTGTGTAGGGATTGCTAAAACTGGGCTCACCCTCATCCCTGAGGGATAAAGACAATAGATGCTACATTCTGAAGGGACCATGCAAACTTTCAAAATGAGATGGCTGACAAGTTGACTATCACCAACTTCAAGGACTTGAAAGGATGGAGTAGCAGTTGAGGGCGTTCAAGGAAGCAATAAAATAAATAATGATGGTTATGGGTTAAACCACAGAATAAAATAAACTCCAATGAGCTCATACAGACAGAAATGAGTAAATGAATGAATGGATAAATTAGGGGAAAGGGACAACTTTTCCCTTCAATTAATCTAGAGGGAATGATGAGACTAGAAATCACTTTGGACCAACACTATAAAAATAATTCTCATTTGTGGGAGTTCCCTGGTGGTCCAGTGGCTAAGATGCCGAGCTCCTGCTGCAAAGGGCCCACGTTTGATCAACGGTCAGGGAACTAGATCCCACATGCCACAACTAAGAGTTTGCATGCTGCAACTAAATAACCTGTGTACCTAGCCAACCTCAGGCCTGTGGTGGCTGCTGCACGTTACAAGGACTGACGTGGCCCCTTCCTCTCCAGTGGTTTTCTTTAGTGTCTGGCTCAGGTTCTGCCCAGTACCCGTGCTCGCTGTGAACAGCATAGGTCCCCGTGTGAATAGGACGAGGGGTCAAGGACTTACTCGTAAAACTCTGCTGCAGGCGTGAACTTGTACTTGGAATACTTGGTGTGGTTGCCCAGCACGGAGCTGTTGAGGAGCTTGGGGTCGGTGCAGTTGGGGCTGTTCCAGGCGTGGCCGCAGTCGGTCCAGGGCAGCGTCAGGGTGAACGAGGAGAAGAGGTAGTAGAGGGACCAGGCGATAATGACGTTGTAGTAGAAGCCAACGTAGAGGGCGATGAGGATCACAGCGTAGCCAACTCCTGGGCGGGCGGCACAGCGGTCAGGCAGGGGCTTCCCCGGGCCCCCTCTCCCTCCCAGAGCCACGACTCTGGGGAAGCTGGCTCCAACCATTGCACTACCCACCCCTATGCCTGTCTTTTTTTCTGTAGCAGACCGTCCGAGCCTAAGTCCCCCAGGCAGAAGAATGCAGTGGGGGGAGGGGGGTGGGAGACAGTTAGGGAGTTTGGGATCGACATGTACACCCTGCTATATTTAAGAGGGATAACCAAGAAGGCCCGACTGTACAGCACAGGGAACTCTGCTCAATGTTACTGGTAGCCCGGATGACACGTGAGTTTGGAGAATGGATCCATGTATATGTATGGCTGAGCCCCTTCTCTGTCCACCTGAAACCATCACTACATTGTTAACCAGCTATATTCCAACATTAAACAAACTGTTTTAAAGAAAATTCCCCAGGCAACCACCATCCCTTTGCCTGAGGGCTCTTTCTTGCCACTGGAGCCCTTTCTGTTCACTCACCTGGCAGGACAGAAATGCCAGGATTTTACTACTCCCAGGGAGCAGCCAGGCCAGGTGTTGGAGCACAAGTATCCCAGCTCCCTCGCCCCTTGGGTAGAATAACAATGAGACACGATAACATTCTCTCCCAGTGGAATGAAGCCCCTTGCCCAGGGTGGAAAGGTGCATGATTGATTTATCAGTCTGCCTGTGGAGCAAGAGGGAGACAGTAGCGTTCTGGGTACCTCTAACACTTCATGAGTATTTCCCAGACAGGAAAACATACTCCCTCTGGTCACTCAGCTGCACAGCTTGGACTGGAACCCAGATTTCCAGACTTTCTAGGCTAAAGCTATTCCTGACATCTCCAAAGTGCTCCATGTAACTTTGAATGGTGGATGTGCTTGACCTTGTCAATACTTATAAATTCCACAAGAAAGCTGGTCCAGCGAGGATCCCACCTTTAGGGTAGATTCTCCAGGGGGCACAGGAAGTCTTTTAGAACAACCTCTGGCTCCTTCTTTACCTTTGAAGAATGGGCAGATCTTCCACACGGTGGCTGCCCCTTCCCGGTTGTACTGGCCCAGAGCCAGCTCCATGTAGAACAGAGGCATCCCAGCGATGATGAGGAACAGGGTGTACGGGATCAGGAAGGCACCTGGGGGACACAGAGGCGGAGCATGAACCCCAAGACCCCTGTCCAGCCTTGGGCCTGCCCCTCAGAGTGTGTGGATCAATGTCGGTCAGAGTTGCAAGGGTCGTCATTCATCTGTAACCTGGCCATTTCTCAAGGGGTGTCTTGTGGTAGGAACACCAGGGCAATTAAACAAATAATCATAATATAATGAAAGTTATAGCACTAGTCACAATCATAATCACGAGGTTCTGTGTTCAAATTAGTAAAATCTGGTTCATCAAATCTAAATAGGGGACTTCCCTGGTGGCCCAGTGGCTAAGACTGTGCTCCCAATGCAGGGGACTCGGGTTTGATCCCTGGTCTGGGAATTAGACCCCACATGCCGCAACTAAGACCCAGTGCAGGCAAATAAATAACAAAATTAAAATAAATAAATATTTTTTAAAAGCTAAATAGGCTTGTTCCTTGCAGAATTCTCCATGCCTTTGATACACAAGCACATGTTGTGACAGGCTATGAGGAAGATCAGCTGCAGTCTTTACCAAACTGATTTCAACACAGAATCCTCTCTTTCATGAATCACCACTCTGGGGAATGCCAATCACCCCAAACCCTTCCTTTTATAGGTAAGGAAATTGAAAGCAGAGAGGGAGAGATATGTAACTAGGGCCCAAAGTTATATATGATTGAGTCGGATCTTTTTTTGTTGTTGTTGTTGTTTATTTGGCTGCACCAGGACTTAGCTGCAGTGTGTGGGATCTAGTTCCCTGACCAGGGATTGAACCCAGGCCACCTGCATTGGGAGCTCGGAGTCTTAGCCACCATTAAAGGTCACCTGGGACTTTCCCAAATATGACCTCACTGGATTGTCCGCAGTCTCACTTCACTTCACAGACATAATCAGAGAGGGTCATTATTTGTGACCCCGAGCCACCCCCACCCCACACCCTGGGGGCAGCTGAAGGCAGACTGGCAGCTGAAGGTAAACAAACACTGGAGCAAAGAGGCCAGAGGCTCCAGTCTCTGACCAGGAAGATATCACCCAGAACACTGCAGAAACTAGAGGGAGCCCTTGGCAAAATGGGCAGCAACAAATCCCTGGGAGAATTCCTGGTGGAACGAGACAAGTCTGAGCTCCAGAGAGAGTTCTCCATATGTCCGGTAGCCTGGGGTGAGCTTAACGGGTTCTGACGCCGCGAGGTGACTCACGGGATACATACCACATCAGCCTAGGCTGCGAGCGTGGTCAAAGCAAAATGCCAGCTTCTTGGCCTGGTGCAGCTGGAGGTGGCCAGGCCAGACCATGCTCCTCCTGCCATTGGCCTTTGGCTGAGATGCGGTAACCTTGGAAACCAAACCCTCTCTGACCCGCCCACTGTAAGAAAGTGCAGAAACTGGGAAATATTCAGTGATGATAATATGAGGAAGATAATATTCCCAGCTGTGTTCCAGGCACTGTGCTCCATGCAATGTCTATTCCATCCTCACAACAACCTTAAAAGTATTACTACCTCCAATTTACAGATGTGGAAACTGGGCCTCCAGGTGAGCAGAGAATCGTGGCAAAGTTGTGTGCACCCAGGGTTAAACTCACCCAGCTACTCAGACTGTCGGTCTCCACTTTCCTCCCAGGGCTTCTCCTCAGGAAGCCCAGGGCTCTGAGGGACAAAGCATGAAATTCTGGCCCCAGTGCTCTGAGGCCCGGTCCTTTTGAAGCAGGAGATGGATCAGTAGGGTGTGCAGTAGGGAAGAAACCACTGAAAAATGAGGACCTCCTATGTGCCCAGCACAGCACGGGGCACTGGACAGCTGTCATCCCATTTACCCCACCCAGAAACTGTCTTGGGTAGCAACTGATATACCCATTTTTCAGAGGAGGAAATTGAGGCTTAGAGAAATTAAGTGACTTATCTAAGTTCACTCAATTGGTCAATGATAGATCTGGGATTTAGACCCTTGTCTGCCTGGCTCCAGAACTCCAGAGCCATTCCCAAAATATTCTGCCAATTTCAGACTATCTCAGCCAAGATGTAGGACGTGAGTCTGAATAAAGTCTCAACAGAGTATGTTCTGAAACTGGGGCTCTGGGGGCCAGGTGATCCACCCGGTCTATTGGTCATGTTCAACATTTCAGCCCCCTGCTTCAGGCTTGATTTCTTCTTCTTCTTCTTTTTTTTTTTTTTTGTGTGTGTGGACCATTTTACAGTCTTTAGATTGAATTTGTTTCTGTTTTAAGTTTTGGTTTTTTGGCTGCAAGGCAATGTGGTATCTTAGTCCCTGATTAGGGGGACTAGGGATTAAACCCGCACCCCTACATTGGAAGGCGAAGTCTTAACCACTGGATGCCAGGGAAGTCCCAAGGCTTAGACTTCTTTGAAATGGCCACATGCCAACCTCTCCCTTCCCCTCTTCATTTCTTACCTTCAACCTCTACCCTTCTCTGTCCCCCCACAGAGAGGGCTAGTCTGGCTTCAGAACACACATCTGTCCACATTCCCGACAGCAATGTTCATGATGCTGACAGAGGTCAGGGTGGTGGTGGTGATGACGGAGTTGGTAAAAGTAACAGGTACCATTTGTTAAGCCTCCATTATATGCCAAGCCACACACTAAGTTTTTGAATAACCATTCCTTTAAAACCATTCCTATGAGAATTACTGCCAATCCCACGTAAAAGATGAGGAAACCGAGGCTTAGAAAGGTCAAGTTGCTGGTCTGAACCAGTAAGTAGGCAGCTTGGCTCCACACTGGGATCTGTCTGCGCCCCCCCCACCCCCACCTGTGACCACCTGCCACCGCCCTTGGGGTCCTGGAGCCAGAAAGTAAGGGAAATAGACGCATCAGAGGGTTAACAGGCCCGAAGACTGAAGTCAGCGGCCCAAGGAACAAAAGGAAAGAAAAAGGCCAGGAGGCACGCCTCAGATCTTGGCAGTGTGACTTGCTCCTGGTGACTAGATGCTCTTTTCTACAGCCAGAGGAAAGAAGAGCATCAGCCAATTCACCAGGCATCTCACGTTGGCCAGTTCTCTCAACTCTAAGCCTCTGGGCAGCACTGTCAACAGTAGGTAAATTGCCCCGTTTGAGATTCATCTCCTCTTGTGCTGGCTGGGATGCCCAGTGGAGGGACAAGAGGAAAGATGATGGGTCTGCACAAGTCCAGGAGTCTTCCAAGTGCATTTGATGTGGGCCAGCCAAAGCTTCAGCTGGCAACAGACCAGAAACACTCAAGAATGACGGAATGGCTGAGTATGAATGAAAACCAGAAAGCTGTCCAGTGGCCAGTGTCTTATCCTAATAGAAGACATCAACCGGTGAGCTGGTCCAAGCCTCCTTGCTCAAAGATCTGGAGGAAGCCAGGGCAGAGCTGAAGAGTCAGAAAGAGATTTATCAGGGGTGCCTAAAGATCAGCAGAGGATGCTTCTCCTAGAAACAGCCCTGCAGCAGCTCCTGGGACACTGAGACTGGTTGCATACTTCCTAGAAAGTGCTGCTCTTTAAGGCCCCAAACTGCCACTTTCCCACAGCCCTGCCTCATCTTCCTGTGTGGTGGTGCCAACTGCATCCAGCCTCACACAGGACTGGAGAGCTGAGAACCTTAGAGGCCACAAGCCCAGAATCTTGGCTCTGGCTGTGTATGTTCTGGGCTGATAGGTGCAGAGCTGGAGAAACAGAGGCAGGGTATACTTCCAAAGGATCTCAGCTTCTGGGAGTCTCCAGCATTCATTCACACACATACACAGATGCACACTTGTACATCTTCACACAAAGACTTCTGCACATCAACACGCTCGCACGAACACAGGAGCAAAAGACTGTCAACTGCAAAAGGGACTCCAACCAGTGACCATTGGTAAGAAAAGTATCTGTCTGACACAAACTGCCTGACACCCCATCATTAGAGAGGAACCCTACTGGTCAGAGTGGGGTTCTGGAACCCTCTGTGCAAATGCGAAGTCCTCAGAAAGGGAAGCCAGTGGTCACTCAGTTTAGAGTGGGGTGTGCTGGAGCAGACCCCGGGTGGGTGAGGAGGACCCCAGGACAAGGTGTCCAGCAAGACGTGGGAGGGGACTTAGTAAGACATGGCATGGCCCAGGCCTGGTGAGGAATCAGGAGAAGGTGGAGGGGCTGTGATCAGAAAGGGGTGGCAGGAGGGAGAGGAGGGTCTGTTGAGACCTTACTGGACCAGTTTCCCAGGCTGTGAAGGGCAGGATTCCTCAAACTGGCCACATCCTGATACATGAAGATATGAAAACCCACAGAACTGTCCACCTGGTGCCTGAGGCCCAGCTATAGGTTGTCACTGCCCGGGGCTTTCACCAGAATTCCCAGAAAACCGTGGTAAGTGCCTAGGGTTGCAGATTTGTCCCAGTTCCCCAAATACCCCAAGGGTACAGACAGCAGGGAAAAAGAAAAGGTGCGATTTCAGTAGGAGACACAGCTTCAGCAGGCAGCAAGGCCACCCGACTGGCAGGGCCCAGGACAAGACACACATGGAGATCTACCTTACAGTGTCTACATATTAAAGATGACAACTCAGCTCACAGTTGTTACACATGCCCCATCATCCTATTTTGACAACTAGACCTTTAGCATGGTTCTATTCATTATAAAGTTTGACCCTGGAACCCTCGGTTCTTGAGGAATTTTTGCTGGAATGTGGAGGCATTCTGCGGGGGGACCCCACATCCTGATTCTTTCCCACCCCGGCTCCATCCAGAAATGTATGAGGCTTTTTGCATGTTCATGTGGACTCTTGTGCTCACAAGTCTAAGCTCTGTCCACAGCCTCTGCAGACAGCGGGCCCTTGGCTTCCCCTTGGCTTGGGTCTGCACATGCCTATAACCCAATCCGGGCCGGGAAAGAAGGATCCAGGTAAGGGGGCCATGCAGAGATTTCCCTGGTGGTCCAGTGGCTAAGACTCTGCATTCCCAATGTAGGGGCCTGGGTTCAATCCCCGGCCAGGGAACCAGATCCCACATACCGCAACTAACAGTTCACTTGCTGCAGTTAAAGGTCCTGCGTGCCTCACCTCTTTACTCCATCCCCTCCCCTTTACTGAAACTAGCCAGCAGCATCCATACACCTGTCTATGGAAGCCCCTGCTGCTCTATGAGGGGATTCTACAAAATGATCCACAAAATGACCAGAACTGACTTTTTTTGGTGCCACAATCTCTCACTATCCCCCCTACTATCTCATCTTCACTTTGGGTTCTTCCAGCTGACCTCTGGCCTTAGCTCTGAGTGCAGGACAGTCATAGTGAGGAAGAATGCTCACTCCCCTGTAGATTAAACCCCACTTCTCTAAGGAGGTCAGTGGGGGTGAAAATCAGGGAGACTGGAGCTGGGCTACCCCTCCCCCTGTGACAATTCTCCCCTGGCTATCAACTTTGCAGGATCTGACTTGATTACTCCTAATGAAGATTCTTGAAGATTTTGGTTTCTCATCTCCTCCACCCTGGTCTCTTTAAAAGCAAGCAATTATAGGCTGCTTGGAATGGTTCGAACCATATTAGAGAAGAAAATATAACCTATGAAGAACAGAGTGGAACCTCCCCTTCCTGATTTGGGAGCTAATACTACCCCAGTAACAGAATATAAAATGACATTAACTTGTAGAATATCTATAATAGACTTTGAACTCCCTAAAGGCAAAGATTGCCTTTTGTTCATCTCTATATTCCTGGCACAGGATGGGCACTTAGTAAACGGGTTTTTTTTGTTGTTGTTAAATAAATGGATCCCAGCAGTGACTCACACAGAGGCTACAGCTAATGCAAGCCCCGGGGCCTTTCTCCACTTGTGCTGTGGCCTCATCCTTACTTAGGCAATTGGGTTTGGGACTGCAGGGCAGGATGTAGCATTTATCCTTGTGAAACCCCATCTTGTTGCAAACGGTCTCTCTAGATCTTTTTGGCCAGCTCAGGGCAATGGGCCAATCATGCTGGTAATGTCAGATCGTGGTCTCAGCTCCAGCCCCTGATGAACAGCCTCATTCCCACAAACATCTTAGCCAGAGGGCCACCCCAGCTGGCAGCTCATGTGCATCTGAGCTGAATCACCAGCGTCAGGCTTCAGAAGTCCAGGGTGTAGATGGTCCCCTGCAGCCAGGTCCAGTGGGAGACCACTGAGTTTGCAAACTCCTGCCCTTTGTACCTGCCACCACCTCTTCCTTGGCCTTAAGAACCCCAGATATTTTTACCAAGAGGATTCCCAAAGGTCTGTGGGTACCTGAGAACCTGAGCTCACTTGAGGAAAGAAGGGAAACCTATTTGGGACCCAGAACTACATATCTCATGGGACCCCATATAGGAACGTTCATCCCCATTTTTCAGGTAGGGAAACAACAATGGGATAAGGTTAGGCCATTAGAAATTCCAGGCCTGGGGCTTCCCTGGGGGCCCAGTGGTTAAGAATCTGCCTGCCAATGGAGGAGACATGGGTTTGATCCCTGGTCCAGGAAGATCCCACATGCTGTGGGATCACACAACTAAGTTTGTGTGCCGTAACTACTGAGCCCTTGCTCTAGAGCAATAACAAAGACCCAGCCCAGCCAAAAATAAGTAAATAAAATAAAAAGAACTCCCAGGTCCAAGCGTGATTCCTTTCCAGTCTTATAGCCCTTCTAACTTCCTCTTAGAGCCAAGTTTGCTCCCTCCAAAATCAGGACCCTGTCCTACTCCCGGATCTAGCCTGGGTCTAGCAGTTCCAGATCCAGGAACCATTAGCAACAACTTCATTTACTGAGTCCCTACTATGTGCCAGACACTGTTGTGAGTCCTTTGCTTGTATTATCTCTAACATCACATCACACTATGGGAAGATACAATCACCCCCCTTTTCTGCACAAGGAAACTGAGGTCCAGAAGTGACTTGTCCAAGGCCACATTTCTAGGAAATGTCAGGCTCAGAGTCAAGTTCAGGTCTGTCAGAACCTAAAGGACATCTCTCTGACAGCTCAGAGCCATCAGCCAGACAAGTCTCAAGCTGTCATTTACAAAAGATAATTCACAGTGGTCTCTTCCCTGGCAGGGAGGCAGACACGGGGACCCAATTGATCTGTCCACTCCTCCCTGGGGACCAGCAAGGCCAGGTATAAGACCACAAGCATGGAGGACCTTGGAAAGAGCCCCACTGGCACTGCCTCCACGTTCGAGAAGGTTCTGAACAAAGCCTTGGAACTTCTGAGAGGGGCTTTCCCGGCCAGAAGCCACCTGTACCCATGCATCTCAGCAGTTAGCTTTTGGGAAGATGTTCAGACAAGCTGATCTTTCTCAGTAATTCATTAAAAAAATATTAGCCAGAGGCCTAAACTATTGGTACCTTTATCATTTCAAAACATCCTCCAGTCTGGGCCAGTGTGAACAGCTAGACTTGGAGGTCACCATGTTAATACTGGCACCAGGAGAGCACACCGCTTGTTAAATAACAGGGCGTGTGAGTCCTGGCTTGGGGGCAGCACTGATCCAGGCCTTGGAGAGGGACGGATCTCAGGGGTCACCCAAGATTACCTCTAGCTTCAGCGGGGCACCTGAGCTCAGAGAGGGGGACTTGAACTTAGAGAGGGGGACCTGAGCTCAGAGAGATGGGATTCGAACCTGGGTCTTTTGACTGTGTCCAGAATCACCCGTTATCACCTGCCAACATGCTTGCCCATCTCTGGGGCTGACTTTATAATCACTGGATGGGAATTGATCCACAAGGAGAAGCCAGGAGGTCTCAGCAGAGACAAAGCTCCGAAGAGGCCTGCCGAGCATCCCCTGGAGGGGTGAGGAGTAAGTTAGAACAGGAGCTGACTCAGACTCTGATACATGAGGCTGCCCTGTTCCACTGTCCTCCATGGACATTCTAGCCAGAAATGGAAATTCACTGGTGTAAATTCCCCTGGCCCAGAGCCTGGCAGTCCAGGTCCCCATAGCCTGGCCCCATCTTGCCTCTCCACCCTTATCTCTCCCAGCTTGCCCTTCAACCATTCTGTACTTCTAATCTCAGAGGTGATCCCACCTGCATTCTCACGCAACTAGAATTCCTCCTCCCTTTCCTGAGGCTTGTGTGTGCCCCACCCATCGGTGCTCCAACCACAGCCCACCCCCTCGGAGTCTTTCCTAAGCAGACCTTCCCCAGGCTCATCCATCTCACACATCAACCTAAAGATATGAATAAGAAGTGGCAGCTACCTTTACTAAGGCCATACTTCACGCCAAGCCCTCCAGGGGCATTATCACATCGAGTCCTCACAGTGACCCTCTGAGTTGAACATTTGTCAGATGAGGAAACCAAGGCTTGGAGAGTCGCCCAGTGTTACACAGCTAGAAGCTGGGACCCAGGACCCACAGCCAGGGCTCCTAACCACTTGGTGCCACCCCTACCCCCACAAGCTCAGCTGCCTCACTTTGTTAGTTCCTGCTGGTGGGGGTAGGGATTCTGCTGTTTCTGGGTAGGCATTAGGTCTCTGAGGGCCTGGACCACTTGATCCATTTACTCATTAATTTGTCGGGCACCTTCTACCACATCCCCTGGATCTAGCCCTTATCTTGGGCATTAGAAATACAGGCATGGGGACTTCCCTGGTGGTCTGGTGGCTGACTCTGTGCTCCCAATGCAGGGGACCTGGGTTCGATCCCTGGTCAGGGAACTAGATCCCATATGCTACAACTAAGACTGGTGCAGCCAAATAAACAAACAAAACTCAACCATAAGAACTTCCCTGGTAGTCCAGTGGTTAAGACTCCACTTTCCAATGCAGGGGCCCCAGATTTGATCCCCGGTTGAGGAACTAGATCCCACATGCCACAACTAAGAGTTCACATACCACAACTAAGACCCCATGCAACCAAATAAAGAAAAAGCAATGTGACTAATATAATAAACAGGGAAAAAAAATACAGGCATGAAAAGCCACAGTCTCTCCTCTCAATGTGCCCTAGTCTGTTTGGAAGACAGACCCACAAAGAGACAAATGACCAAACAACCCAGAACGGGTGATGGGCAGGGCTAGCAATTCCAGGAGAGGGAGCGTCTGGCCAATTTCGCCCCCAAATCGGAACGTGTGACAAATGTGCTCTGTCTTGTGCCCTGGGTTTCTGGTACGGATCACCTTGCATACAGCAGGAACTCTCAGTTGGGGGCGATGGCCAAGGGAGCACAGTGTCAGTGAAAACACCAGAATATCCATCTCACTGACGTGTCCAATTGGCCATCTGGGGTGCTTTTAGTTTCAACAGACACTTAAAAAAGAGAATGACGTGTAGCAGCATGACAACAAAGCCCTTAGGTGACCAGAGCGCCTGGCAGGCAGAGGGGCAGTTCATACATCTAGGTGACCCCTGTGGAGCCCAGCACTGTGCCTCATGCCAAGAGGAGCCCAATACATATCGCTGATTAATGACAGAACCTTCCGCTGTCTAGGGTCATGCAGCCTTGGATGGTCACAGAGGACACACTAGACAGACTGTTCTAGGTTCTCTTAGTCTGTCTTTCATTCTTCATTTCTCTGCCAGCCAAAAAATGTCAGAGAAACCGTATTTCCTCCCTCCTTGAGTCTGAAGGGCCAGAATGCTTAAACCTGATCAGAAACTCATGAGAAGCTGCAGCAGCCCAATGAGGAAAAGTTTCACCTCTGAATCACCTGTTTCCCTTTCCTCACCCAAAACAAGCGTCCAGAGTACACAGTGAAGCAAACAGCAGGGGCCCAGACCCTATGGGACAAGGTTATGAGCTTTTCCTCCAACTCTAAGCCCTTACTCTGCCTCCCTCTGACCCCCTGGAGTCCTGAGCCAGATCCCCTGCCAGGCAGATGGCCCAGTAGATAGAAAAATGTTTCCGCTGTGGTTGCCCCCCCTCCCCACCTTTGCCGACTTCTTCCTCTAGGTCATCTTCCCAGGCTTGCTACAGGGTACTCCTGAGCTCAGCCCAGCAAAGAGGGGAGATCTGGGGCAGTTTCGGCAAAAGCTCTCAGGAAGGAGCTAGGGCTAGGCCCCAGTATCCTGCACGCTGGGCTGCGTTCCCCAGGACTCTGCTCCCTGAGTGGGCTATAGTTGATATCTAGGCTCTCATCCCAGGGCAGGCAGTATGAGGTCACCTGGCAAGGGAAGGGGGAGAGAGCCTGACTGCTAGAGTGACGTTTCCTCCAGGCGCTTCACCCACTCTACCCTGCAATGTGGCCAGGACCCCAGGAGGTAGAGGCTTCTTCCTAATCAATTACCCAAGCCTCCTGCCTCAAGGATCAGGCCAGTTCTTGGTAGTGGCTGACACAACCCTCCTAGGCTGTGCTCTTTGGCCCCTCCAGCCAAAGGACCATCAACCTAAGCAGTGGAGTTCTCTCTGCCACTAGCTTCTCTTTATGTGTCTTTGATCCAAGGATTTCTGCCCCAAGAGTGCAGGGCCTCCCAAGTGTCTTCAGGGAACCCAAGTCCTTTATCAAACTCAGAGCGCTGGAGCCTGGTTGTCACATTCTGTGCACTTTGGGCGCCGTATCAGAAGCTCTCCAGATCTCTACTTCCCTTGCTGCAGACCATCAAAAGGTCCCAGCTCATCACCTAACCTGGTGCCCTGGAATCTGTCCTTCTACGCATGCGCCCATCACTGTCCAAGTTCATGCCAAGGTCATGCCTCGATTTCCCTCTTCCAAAGGGGACTCCTTTTTCCGTGAGCCCTGTTTGGTCTCTTCCTGCGCTCTGGACTTTCCCGTCTGTCCCCTTATCTCCTCCCATGGGTATCCCCAGATCCTCTCCCGGCCCTCGTCGCAGACGGGTAGCTTCCCAAGTGAAAACCCCCAGCCCGTCAGGGGGCTCACCGCCTCCGTTCTTGTAGCAGAGATAGGGGAAGCGCCACACATTGGCCAGATCTACTGCGAAGCCGACCACCGACAGCAGGAAGTCGATCTTCTTGCCCCAGGTCTCCCGGGGCTGCTCATCGCCGTCGCGGGACGCCAGGAGGCACTGGACGCCGTTGCGTTCTTTCACCACCAAGACTTCTTTGCGCTTCCGCGGGGGCTGCTCCGACCCCGGGCCCGCCCCGCCGTTCTCCGGCTGCACCTGCGGGTTCATCCGCGCCAGAAGCATGGGTGCGGCTGGTGAGAGGAGCGTCAGGAATACTAGGAGCTCGCAGAGGCTCTGCTGGGATCAAAGGAAACGATGTGATCACTGGGCCATTCCACCCTGCCTGCGGTCTCCCGGGAGCGCCGGGATACTGTGGTTGGCGCGCGCTGAGCGGACGCAGGGTGCCCAGAAAAGGCGCGCGTCTGTTGGAAAAATTTGGAAGCAGAGGTAGTGGCGCGCCGGACTGGGACGGAACTTATACGTGGAGGCCGCCCCTGCAGCCCTCGGGATCTTTCTTGGGACCCCGGGCGCTTCCCTCATTCGTCCGCTCCCTCTTGCCCCCAAAAGACGAGGTTTGGACACGCCCAGGCAGAGGTTTCCCGGGGCGGTGACTTGACCTGGTGCAGCTTTCTGCCCCCTACCCTCAGCTTGGGTCTGCGCCACGTCCAACAGCACCAGGAGCCTCCCCGGACACTTATTACCTCTGCCCTTCAAACTCGCTGACACCCTAGCTCTGCGCATCCCAGCCTGGGATGGCACACCTAGTCCGGTCCCGCGCGCAGGGCGCACTCACGTGTCCGGCAGCAACGGGATCCCGGGTGCCGTGCGCCCTGCCTGCCCGCCCGGGACCCGCCTCGCCTCGCCAGGCTGTGGGGCGCGGGCTGGGGCTGGGCTCCGCCGTGTGGCGCTCGGGCGCGGCCGGAGGAGCGCTGAAAGCGCGGGGCGGCCGGCGGGGCGCGGGTCTGCTGGTTCTGACCGTGCTGGGCGGGGGCCGGGCTGGTAATGTAGCCTGCGCCCCAGGTAACGCGACGATTGCATTAACCCAGCGCCGGGCCCGCTCTGTCTGGAGCCTGTTAGCGCTAATGGAGACTGACAGCGCGGCCGGGGATGGGCATGGGCGGGGGCGCGGCGCGGGCTCGGCGGACTGCAAGAGCCCCGCTCCCGGCGACTCGCCGGACCAGGGTGCCCACTGCCTTTCCTGCACGCACTGGGACACCAGACTCAGCTCCTGGGGGCAATAGGCTCTGACCTTCGACTATAGGAAGAGAGCGAGACTCTCGGAACTAAGATCTGAGTTTGAGAGGGAACAGGGAGAAAACTGGGGAGTGCAATGGCGGTTCAGTATCAGTTCTGTCATCCGCTGCAGGCCACGATAAGCTACCTGGCCAGAGTTTCTCCATCAACAAGAAGGGAATGTTCTGTTCAGTGCCTAGGAAGGTACACTGAGGGCTGGTGGGCCATCGGGTGGGTTTTGTTTAGCTTGTTCAGATTGAAAGGTCACAACGGGGCGCTTACTCCTATATCTGTTTGTTATGGGCAGGCTAGCAAGGCATTTGAGGTTCTGACCCCTATTACATGAGGCTTAGAATTGCTATTCATTCACTTATTTACCCATTCGTGCACCCATTTGCTCACGTGTTCCTACATATGCCTGTTAAGTGCCAGAGACTGTTCTAGGCTCTTGAGATACATTAGTGGACAACTCTGTCAAAAATCCATGACATGGGACTTCCCTGGTGATCCAGTTGTTAAGACTGCGCTGCAGGGGGACTGGTTCGATCCTTGATGGGGAAACTAAGAGGCTTCCCAGGCGACTCAGTGGTAAAGAATCCACCTGCCAATGCAGGAGACACAGGAGATGCGGGTTCAATCCCTGGGTTGGGAAGATCCCCTGGAGAAGGAAATGAATGGAAACCCAGTATTCTTGCCTGGGAAATTCCATAGACAGAGGGGCCTGGTAGGCTACAGTCCATAGGACTGCAGTCCAAACAACTGAAGTGACTTAATACGCAGGAGAGTGTTTAGAGCATTTTCATTAAGGCGACCAACATGACAGATGTCCTCTGTGAAGGATGCAGAGAGAAGAGAAAGGGGAAGAGAATAGGGTGGTGGATCTGCCCTGGCCTTCTGGAGGCTAATGGTCGGAGGCACAAGGTCAGGGGAAGGAGGAGGTTTCAGGAGGAAAGCCTGGGACCACACGCACCAGCGACGCTCATCCCCTCTGACCCCTGGACCATTCTGACAAGCCTGTGAGGAAAGTAGGATTGGAACCATCATCCCATTTGGGGGGCTAGGAAACTGCAGCTCATGGGTTGGAAGTGACAGAATTGAAATGAGAACCCAGGTCTCCTGGCTCCTAGCCCCTGTCTCCTCCACTAGCTTATGGATGGAGACACTCAGAAACTCACTAGGAGTCACGCTGCCCTCCTGCCTGCTACCTAGTGTCTCATACAAGCGATCCTGAGGATCCCACCTTAAAACATTCTGCGAAGCCCCATTCCCACTGCTGAAGCATCCCCACAGAGGGTCCCACCCATCACCTTTCGCTGCAGCAGCCTCCTCGCCGGTCACCCCGTGTCCAGTATCTTTCCAGCCACATGATATTCACCAGCTGCCAGAGCATTTTCTAAAACTCATCTGATCACCTCACTCTTCTGCCTAAAACTCCTCTCAGAGACAACAACACATCAGTGTGATTTAATTAACCCCGGATTTGAAGTAATTTTATTTTCTTTTTTATACTTCTCTTTATTTGCCAACTTTTCTACAATGAGCCTTTGATACTTATGCAATCAGAAAAATATAACCCATGATTTCTTAAAATCTTCCCATCTTTCCAAGATAATATCAAAACACCTTCTGCAATAGAGACAAGATTCTGCCTGCCTATTTAACCACATCTCTTGCTATTCTAACCTCTCTGTATTCTTTTAAAATTCCTTTACCACCTCCAAAATATGCTTTATTCTCGAGGAACAAGAGAAGTCAACTACCAGCGATTCCTTGGATACCTTGTGCATTTTTATACCTCTGGATTTTTAAAAAGGCTTTCCGTCTTCCTCTTGTCTATCTGGAGAACTCCTATTCATCCTTCAAAACCTCAGGTGTCACCTCCACTGTAAAACCTTCCCTGATAACTACCTCCCACAAGAGAGTAAATTCCTCCTTTATATTGTTTTGTATATTTGTCTAGAACTTTCTCTCCATGACTTCCCTACTAGGGATAAAGACAGTACCTAATATATCCTGTTACATAGCTTACACTCCAGAAATATGAACAGAATGGAACCAGGAGAGATCTCAATCGTTGGTTGGATTTGGTGTCTTTTTGGTTGGGGCTTTTTTCTCTTGGATTCTACCAGAAACAGAACCTGAAACAAATAATTGAGTTCAAGTAGTTTATTTAGGGGGGCTTCCCTGGCAGCTCATATGGTAAAGAATCCGCCTGCAATGCAGGAGACCTGGGTTTGATCCCTGGGTTGGGAAGATCCCCTGGAGAAGGGAACAGCTACCTACTCCAGTATTCTGGCCTGGAGAACTCCATGGACAGAGGAGCCTGGCAGGCTACAGTTCACTGGGTCACAAAGAGTTAGACGTGACCAAGTGAGATGATCCTGGAAACAGTGGTAGAGGACAGGGGAGGTAAGAAAGAGAAGGAAACCAATAGAGGGGGCCTTAAGAAGTAGTCACTGCTGTGGACAGCTGGTGGTCAGTCCTGCTGGAAACCTCTGGGCCAGAGGTATCTCAGACATGTCCCATCCCTGGGCAAGAAAGCTGGAGTATTTATCCATGAAGACTGCTCCCAGGGTGCTAACTTACCAGCATTTCCATCCTGCCTGGTGTGTGGGCTGATCAAACTCTTGTTGCCAGAAAAAGGCTCCCATTAGAGTCCCAGGTTCAGGCAGAAGGAAGCTGGTGGTTGGGTCTATGTTGGCAAGAAGAGTGGATTACAAGGGGTGTGGGCAGGCCCTGGAGTGTCCCCTACAGAGATGAAGGGAGACACTGCCCCTCCCGCCCCCCCCCCACACACATGCATATCATTGGATGTGCATTGGAGGGCCTGACAGCAAAACTTGAGGGTTCCACCTTGTGGTTTCATAGACCTCTGGAGAGCAGCCTGAGGCTGGGCTGAAGGGGAAAATGTCTCTCTCCATCTGGGGACCAGACTCCCTGCCTTCAGATCCAAGAGCCATGGGGCCATGTGGCTTCTCTCTGTGCGCTGCCTCCTGCCCCTCCAGGCTGCCTGCGGGTGAGTGGGGGGGCAGATGGCTGGAGCATTATCAGAGCTAGCGTGATCCTTGGGGAGGCGTCACGTCCACTTACCACGACACTCGGTGACACAGGCCATGGGCAAGGTGATGACTGGTGCTGTTGGCCCAGCTCTGGCCATCTCCCCTCAGACACCAAGACCCTGACACACAAAGGCTGGCCTGTAGGATATTTGGAATCCAAGCAACTCAGTTCTGGAAGTGTCCTGAAGATAGTGTCAGAGCCTGCACCTCCACTGCACTGATGGGGAAAATGAGGTCAGGGAGGAGAAGTTCCCTGTACATTTCCTCCTTTCCTTCTTTCCTCTCTTTTTTCTTTCTTCCTTCCTTCCTATTTCTTTCTTTCTGTTTCTTTATTTTGTTTTTCTTTTGATCAGGGGCATTAGACGTATGTTCTGACCACTGACCTGCCCTGGATGATTGTTATATGTTAAACTGCATTTCCAGACAGCAAAAAAGTGCCCTCAATAAAAGACCCCAGTGAGCTGAAGTCAGCCTCCTCCAGGATCTCTCCCTCTAAAGCCTCCCAGATGTCCTCGAGGCTTCCAACCTACTCAGATGGTCAGTCCTTTCTCTCTTCTCTGTGGAGCTCCTACCCGACCTGGGACCACATCCAGGCACTGGCACTAAAGAGCACCTGTCATTGATGATGGATACATCCATTAACATCGCCTGCCTGGATCCAACCACAGAGCAACATCTCCACATGGGCAACAAAAGACACCTGGAACCCCTGTGTCAAAGATAGAATTCCTGACCTCCCCGTGTTTACGTGCACACACACCTCCATTATTCCAAGTGATGGCATCGTCTTCCTTGTAGATCCTCAAAGGCCAAAAACCTTAGAGTCCTCTTTCTCATACTCCCACAACCAATCCTACTGCAAACTCTCTGGGCTGTATAAATCGTTCCCCTCTCCCCGTCTTCAGGGTCACCACCCTGCCCCCAGCTGTGTCATCCCTCACCTGGGTTAGTGCCGTAGGATCTGAATGGCCTCTGTCATTTCTCGTTTTACCCCTGAAGCTCGACACAGTCACCAGGAAGACCTTCCAGAAATGAATTCAGATCCTATCCTTCCCTCTCCGCAGTGGCTCCCATCTCATTGGGAATAAAATCTGGAGTCCTTCAGTGGGTGAGATGGATTACCGAGTAAACCATCCTTCTGTGGCCTTGGCACTGCGAGCCTGGACAAGCACATGACCGCCCCCATGGGAGGACACAGGTGCTGGGGGTAGGGTGGGGGGAAGGAGTGCCAGGTGGGGCGGCAGAAAAAGCACAGGGCTGGGTCCTGACTCCTGCTCTGCTATATTAGGGCTTTTTGGAGAGGGCCAGCTCCATCAGCAAGATGCGGATGGACAGGAGGAAGAAGAAAGATAGACAAAAGTTATGTCAGGACTGGAACTGGGGAGGGAGAAAGGAATGGAGGTGTTCAAGGCAAAGGGATTCAGTGTCCTGGGAGGAAAGAAGGACATCCCCCTTCTGCATGAGCCACCAGATAACATCCTTTGACCCTAAGGTGGTCACGTGAGTTATGACAACAGAAAACTCACATCTGGTTCATGTCCCTCTCCAAGGCAGAGTGGGGTTGAGGTCAGCTGATCAGGATGAACCATAATCAGGCTGACACAAGAGTTCTATCCATCTAGGGAATGAATATTAGAGCATGATGGGACCATAGAAACCTTCACACTCAGGTGCGCTCTGTTAGAAGACCAGACGCTCCGATAATCTGATGAATGTAGGCTCTCCCAGAAATATGCACACACACATGGCATTTAAATATTTAGTGTGAAATTTCTAACAAAAAGCATATAAAACATATGTAAACAGTTTATAGTTTAAATATCAGTAATATGAACATGTAAGAACCCACCCTCCGGGACTTCCCTGGCAGTCCAGTTGTTAAGACTCCACACTTCCATTGTAGCAGTCATGAGTTTGATTACTGGTCAGGGAACTAAGATCCCACACACCAGAGGATGTGGCCAAAAAGGAAAAAATTGAAAAATGAATTTTACAAAACGAACCCACTCTCTTGGATTAAGAAATAGAACATATCCTTCAAGCCCCCCTGTGCCCCTCTC